TTAGGTACAAACACTTATGTGACATAAGTTGGACAGGAAAAAGTGTATGACAGGCGGAAGTGAGAACATTGGGGGGGGGGGGTTAATATAATGCCCTGAACAGTGGGGTGACGCAGGCAGACTCCACACACAGCAGATATGAGACAGTCACATGGACCACATAATTACATTTATGGGGAGCGTTAAACGCGCAGGGGCCCATACACCACTTGGGAGTTATAGAAGGCCATCAGGATCGACCTAGGGGAGAGATCAGGTCCAAGTTATTGTATCAAGAGTCGATGTGTTGTTACAAGTGATCACTGTGTATAGTAAGTATATTGTATGTGTCCCATGTACTCTTGTGTACTCACCGAGTTGGTGGTTGGGTCGGGTCTCAGCTCCTGGCCCCAGGTTCTGTGTTGTCCCACACGCGTTATCAGCAGTGACAATCGGTATACTGACATCAGAGACATTAATAATAGGAAATATATCAGATAAAGTATATTCAGGACTGGCAGCCATGTAAATAACTTTTGCAGTTAGCGCATCGGCCTAGCTTGCAACATGTGCCGGCGGCCGTGCCTAGTCTTGTATCTCCAGTGCCAGGCTCCTCTGCGCTACGTCGTTTGGGGACCTGCACCGGGGCTTGTGTTGTGTTGTACCGTCAGTGTCAGATTCTCCCTCCTGCCGCCGTCGCCGCCGCCTCTTTCCCTTCGGGAAGTCTTGTACCTTAAGGTGGAAGAAGTCTTGAGCAGTTTCCGTCACACTTCACCACACGCAACACGCCTCGTCACTGCCGCGCTGGCTTGCCAGAACGTGAACATGTTCGTGCGTGCGTGTGTGGGCGCAGAAAGCGGTGCATTGCGCCGGTTTGTGGGCGGTGTGTGGGGTCCCCAGCGTCGTCACCGCCACACTCCACCACGTCCTAACCCTGCCCCTTGTTGTCCCTTATCTCCTGTCTGCTTCCACCGCCGCCTCTGCCACCTGCCACCCGGCGGTGCTGTCGCCGGCCTGACCGGCTGTTCTCTGCCACCGTGCCGCTGCTGCTGGTACTGCCGCTGCTGGTGCTCCTGTTGCTACTGCTGCTCCTGACGGCCTGGTCCTTGCCTCCTGCTCGTCGCCACGTTGCTACTTGGATCGGGTCCTCTCTGCCCAGAAGCCCCTGCCCCGGCGCGCGCGTGGGTGTGGGCTGACCCCGAGGGCAGAGGGGCGCCGCCGCCCTCAACATGGTGGACCTCGGGGGGCGCCGCTCCAAGCCCCCCGGCCCTAACACCACTAACAACAGCAACAATGTGTCGGCACCTCCACCAAGATGTATTGTTTACACTGGAGTCTCTGTTAAACACTTGGTAATGTCCCCCAGGGAACCCCGCCAGTAATAGTCCCCCTACCCCCAAGAGACTGATGTTGACCCCAGGTACCTTATTGACCCTAGAGACTAGTGTTGACCCCAGTGACTGATGTCTTACATAGTTCACCTATATAATGTATTAGCCTGAGAAGACTAGTTTTGTCCCAGAGACTGACATTGACCCATAGTGTTGTGTTGACCCCAGAAACTGATAGTGAACCAAATAGTGTTGACCCACAGTATTGTGTTGACCCCAGATGGTGACACATTGTTGTTGACCCCAGAGGCTAATCCATGTAGTGTTGTGTTGACCTCAGAAACTGATTGTGACCTATATTAAGTTGTTGATGACAGACATGTTCAACACTTGCATATCTTTATTGGGAGACGTTTCGCCCACAGAGCCAGCTTTAGGAGTCTAACAGTCTCGGGACGGAGAATTTTTATGTGGGAGACAGTGGAAGAAGTGGAGGGGTGCAGTAGTTGAAGATGTGGTCACATGTGGGCAGGGTCCACTAGTGGAAGTAGATCAGGACCGCATTTGACCTCGTCTGCAACTGCTGCATCACAGTAAGTAGATACGCTCCCACTAACTCATGAGTCATCAGTGTTGCAACCAGCACATCACGGGTGTCGCATTGTTCATGAGTCAGTGTTACCAGCACATCACTGGTTTTAACATTGTTCATGAGTCAGTTACCAGCACATCGCTGATGGATCTCGTCAAGAATAAATTCCGTCTTGAAGGAAGTTTGACACACCGTGTACAGTGACACTGGAGGTTTTGACACACCGTGTACAGTGACACTGGAGGTTTTGACAGTGTAGTGACACTGGAGGTTTTGACACACCGTGTACAGTGACACTGGAGGTTTTGACACACAGTGTACAGTGACACTGGAGGTCTTGACACACCGTGTACAGTGACATTGGAGGTTTTGACAGTGTAGTGACACTGGAGGTTTTGACACACCGTGTACAGTGACACTGGAGGTTTTGACACACCGTGTACAGTGACACTGGAGGTTTTGACACACCGTGTACAGTGACACTGGAGGTTTTGACACACCGTGTACAGTGACACTGGAGGTTTGACACACCGTGTACAGTGACACTGGAGGTTTTGAACACGTGTACGTGACACTGGAGGTTTGACACACCGTGTACAGTGACACTGGAGGTCTTGACACACCGTGTACAGTGACACTGGAGGTCTTGACACACCGTGTACAGTGACACTGGAGGTCTTGACACACCGTGTACAGTGACACTGGAGGTCTTGACACACCGTGTACAGTGACACTGGAGGTCTTGACACACCGTGTACAGTGACACTGGAGGTCTTGACACACCGTGTACAGTGACACTGGAGGTCTTGACACACCGTGTACAGTGACACTGGAGGTCTTGACACACCGTGTACAGTGACACTGGAGGTCTTGACACACCGTGTACAGTGACACTGGAGGTCTTGACACACCGTGTACAGTGACACTGGAGGTCTTGACACACCGTGTACAGTGACACTGGAGGTCTTGACACACCGTGTACAGTGACACTGGAGGTCTTGACACACCGTGTACAGTGACACTGGAGGTCTTGACACACCGTGTACAGTGACACTGGAGGTCTTGACACACCGTGTACAGTGACACTGGAGGTCTTGACACACCGTGTACAGTGACACTGGAGGTCTTGACACACCGTGTACAGTGACACTGGAGGTCTTGACACACCGTGTACAGTGACACTGGAGGTCTTGACACACCGTGTACAGTGACACTGGAGGTCTTGACACACCGTGTACAGTGACACTGGAGGTCTTGACACACCGTGTACAGCGACACTGGAGGTCTTGACACACCGTGTACAGCGACACTGGAGGTCGTGACACACCGTGTACAGCGACACTGGAGGTCGTGACACACCGTGTACAGGACACTGGAGGTCGTGACACACGTGTACAGCGACACTGGAGGTCGTGCACACCGTGTACAGCGACACTGGAGGTCGTGACACACCGTGTACAGCGACACTGGAGGTCGTGACACACCGTGTACAGCGACACTGGAGGTCGTGACACACCGTGTACAGTGACACTGGAGGTCGTGACACACCGTGTACAGTGACACTGGAGGTCGTGACACACCGTGTACAGTGACACTGGAGGTCGTGACACACCGTGTACAGTGACACTGGAGGTCGTGACACCGTGTACAGTGACACTGGAGGTCGTGACACACCGTGTCAGTGACACTGAGGTCGTGACACTGAGTGTCAGTGACACACCGGTGTCTGACCAGTGTGACATTGTGAACTGGGTCGTGAACGTGTCAGTGACACTGGAGGTCGTGACACACCGTGTACAGTGACACTGGAGGTCGTGACAGTGTACAGTGACACTGGAGGTCGTGACAGTGTACAGTGACACTGGAGGTCGTGACAGTGTACAGTGACACTGGAGGTCGTGACGGTGTACAGTGACACTGGAGGTCGTGACGGTGTACAGTGAACTGGAGGTCGTGACGGTGTACAGTGACACTGGAGGTCGTGACGGTGTACAGTGACACTGGAGGTCGTGACGGTGTACAGTGACACTGGAGGTCGTGACGGTGTACAGTGACACTGGAGGTCGTGCACGGTGTACAGTGACACTGGAGGTCGTGACACGGTGTACAGTGACACTGGAGGTCGTGACACGGTGTTACAGTGACCACTGGAGGTCGTGACACGGTGTACAGTGACACTGGAGGTCGTGACACGGTGTACAGTGACATGAGGTCGTGACACGGTGTACAGTGACACTGGAGGTCGTGACACGGTGTACAGTGACACTGGAGGTCGTGACACGGTGTACAGTGACACTGGAGGTCGTGACACGGTGTACAGTGACACTGGAGGTCGTGACACGGTGTATACAGTGACACTGGAGGTCGTGACACGGTGTACAGTGACACTGGAGGTCGTGACACGGTGTACAGTGACACTGGAGGTCGTGACACGGTGTACAGTGACACTGGAGGTCGTGACACGGTGTACAGTGACACTGGAGGTCGTGACACGGTGTACAGTGACACTGGAGGTCGTGACACGGTGTACAGTGACACTGGAGGTCGTGACACGTGTACAGTGACACTGGAGGTCGTGTCAGCACACCGTGTACACCTGTGCACTGGAGGTCGTGACACACCGTGTACAGTGACACTGGAGGTCGTGACCACGCGTGTACAGTGACACTGGAGGTCGTGACACACCGTGTACAGTGACACTGGAGGTCGTGACACACCGTGTACAGTGACACTGTAGGTCGTGACACACCGTGTACACGTGACCAAGGTGTGACACACCGTGTACGTGCATGGTGTGACACTGTACATACACTTGTCGTGACACACCGTGTACAGTGACACTTTAGGTCGTGACACACCGTGTACAGTGACACTTTAGGTCGTGACACACCGTGTTCATAAACACGGTGCTACCTTAGCACTCAGTGTTAACTCGTTAATTTTTACTGGGCTAACTTAACAGTTATTGTTCACTGGTAATTAATACTTGTATGTCTCTATTAACCTTGCTGCTGCTGGATGGACCTTGCTGTTTGCTGGGGTCTCCTGGTCTTTTGACCTGGCCCGGCGTGACCTGTGACCTGTGGTGGGCTACGTAGCGTCGCAGCTACTGTGACCAGACCAATCTGTGCCACGCCCTGGGTGGTGGGGCGGCCACGGGCGGCGGTGGTGGTCGTCAGCCTTACATCACTAAGGCTAACGTCGCTCGCATTGTAAGTCGTCTCTGTGCCACACCTGTGCTACAACACCCGTACTTGCTGTGCTACACCTGTGCCATACCTGCTATCCAACACCAGCTGTTTCACGCCTGTGCCACGCTAGTTGTCACACCTGTGCACCACCACCTGTGCCACACCTGCTATCCTTACTGTTTACCACACCTGCTATGCCACACCTGCTATCCTTACTGTTTACCACACCTGCTATGCCACACCTACCCTTACTGTTTACCACATTTGTCACACCTACTCTCACTATATATTATACACCAAACCTGTGCCACATCTCGCTATATTCCACACTGTGTCACACCTGCTACACTTACTATTTACCACACCTGTTGTGCCACACTTGTGCCACACCTACCCCTTACTGTTTACCACACCTGTGTCACACCTGCTACCCGCACCACCACACCTGTGCTACATCTACCTTCACTATACCACATCTGTGCCACAACTACCCTCACTGTGTACCACCTGCTGTGCCATACCTGCTGCCCTCTATACGCCACACCTACTACCCTCACTGTACCACACGTGTGCCACACCTGCTGTGTTACACCTACCCTCACTCATACCACACCTATTCCACATCTGTACCACACCTTGTTCCACGCCTGCTGTACCACACCTGTTGTACCACACCTGCTGCTCCTCACCTGTTCCACACCTTGTTCCACACATGCTACTCCACACCTGCTGCTCCACACCTTGTTCCAAACCTGCTGCTCCACACCTGCTTCACGCCTGCTGTTCCACACCTGCTGCTCCACACCTGCTACCCTTTGTTCTTTGTCTAGACTCTGAACACATTTCTTTAATAGGAAGATAAAATAATCGCTAAATAATTTTAGGCATCAGACGTCCATTAATAGCATCACAACTGTGCCAGTAAACAAGAGATTATTAAGATAATCTGGCGATAAAGAATAAATAAAACAAGATAAATGTATTTAAGTTGTCTTAGTGTGCAAGCAACTGGCTCTGACACGCTATCTTTAATAATAATAATAATAATAATAATAATAATAATAATAATAATTATAATTTAATGTTTTAGCCTCGCTCTAGTCTGAGTATGGTAGTGAAGGATGGTAGGTGTTATCTAAGAATATGGTAGTGAAGGATGGCAGGTGTTATCCACGAGTATGGTAGTGAAGGATGGTAGGTGTTATCTAAGAATATGGTAGTGAAGGATGGCAGGTGTTATCCACGAGTATGGTAGTGAAGGATGGTAGGTGTTATCTAAGAATATGGTAGTGAAGGATGGCAGGTGTTATCTAAGAATATGGTAGTGAAGGATGGCAGGTGTTATCTAAGAATATGGTAGTGAAGGATGGCAGGTGTTATCTAAGAATATGGTAGTGAAGGATGGCAGGTGTTATCTAAGAATATGGTAGTGAAGGATGGCAGGTGTTATCCACGAGTATTGTAGTGAAGGATGGCAGGTGTTATCTAAGAATATGGTAGTGAAGGATGGCAGGTGTTATCTAAGAAATATGGTAGTGAAGGATGGCAGGTGTTATCTAAGAATATGGTAGTGAAGGATGGCAGGTGTTATCTAAGAATATGGTAGTGAAGGATGGCAGGTGTTATCTAAGAATATGGTAGTGAAGGATGGCAGGTATTATCCACGAGTATGGTAGTGAAGGATGGCAGGTGTTATCTAAGAATATGGTAGTGAAGGATGGCAGGTGTTATCTAAGAATATGGTAGTGAAGGATGGCAGGTGTTATCTAAGAATATGGTAGTGAAGGATGGCAGGTGTTATCTAAGAATATGGTAGTGAAGGATGGCAGGTGTTATCTAAGAATATGGTAGTGAAGGATGGCAGGTGTTATCCACGAGTATTGTAGTGAAGGATGGCAGGTGTTATCTAAGAATATGGTAGTGAAGGATGGCAGGTGTGTTATCTAAGATATGGTAGTTAAGGATGGCAGGTGTTATCTAAGAATATGGTAGTGAAGGATGGCAGGTGTTATCTGATGGAAGATAGAGGTATGGGTGTGTGTGGGAAACAAGCAGGTTGCAACACTAGGGTTGGAAACAGTAAATGTATAAAAGGCATTCAGCATGAAGTTATAAATAAAGACAATAGAACAGGTCAGCAAACAAAGGGGGACAGCAGAGGGCAGCAAGGGACTAGCTCCCTTAAGGTTTACTATACTAATAGCAGGAGTGTTAGAAATAAGATAGATGAGCTAAGATTAATTGCAAGTGCAGGAAACATAGATATTATTGCTATAACAGAGACCTGGCTCAATCTGAAAGATAGAGAGATGCCCTCTGAATGTCACATACAAGGCTATAAATTATTCCACACTGACAGGGTCAACAGGAAAGGTGGTGGAGTAGCGATGTATGTCAGAGACAATTTAAAATTGTTGTGTTAGACAAGATATTAAATTAGAAGCGTCAGCCACTGAATCTGTTTGGTTACAGCTTCTCGAGGGCCGAGAAAAAAACTAATTTTGGGTGTGATTTACAGGGCCCAAATCTTGATAGGGAGTGCAGTAAACTTCTATGGGACGAAATTCGTAAGGCATCTACATACGAAAATGTTGTGCTAATGGGAGATTTCAACTATAGACAGATTGACTGGAGCAATTTGACAGGAAATTTAGAGTCGGGTGACTTTCTTGATACGATCCAGGATTGTTTTTTAAAACAGTTTGTGACAGAGCCAACTAGGGGAAATAACCTCCTTGACTTGGTTCTTGCCAGTAGGGAAACACTAATTAATAATCTTGAGGTTAATGATGAGCTTGGGGAGAGTGATCACAAAACACTCAGTTTTAACATATCATGGAATTCCCCTAATAATGGCAATCAAGTCTCCGTCCCTGACTTTCGCTTGGCTGATTTCATAGGACTGAAAAATTACTTAGGTGGGCTGAACTGGAATGACCTGACTAGGGGTCAGGTAGGTGGTGATGGTTGCCGATATGATGCTTTCCAGGGCATAGTTCTAGCTGCTCAGTCAAATTATGTTCCAAATAGGGAAATCAGATCAAACAAAAATGATCCTAAATGGATGAACAATAGATTAAAATATCTGATTGGTCAAAAGAGAGGCATATATAGGCAAATCAAAAGAGGAGAGGGGCAATTAAGAAATCGATATATTCAGTTAAAGAGAGAAATAAAAAAGGGAATTAGAAAAGCAAATAGAGATTATGAGGTTAAAGTTGCAAGAGAATCGAAGACTAACCCAAAAGGATTCTTTCAGGTATACAGAAGTAAGATCAGGGACAAGATAGGCCCACTCAAAAGTTCCTCGGGTCAGCTCACTGACAGTGATAAGGAAATGTGTAGAATTTTTAACACATACTTCCTCTCAGTTTTTACACAGGAGGATACCAGCGATATTCCAGTAATGATAAATTATGTAGAACAGGACGATAATAAACTGTGCACTATTAGGGTCACAAGTGACATGGTCCTTAGGCAAATAGATAAATTAAAACCTAACAAATCCCCAGGCCCTGATGAACTGTATGCAAGGGTTCTAAAGGAATGTAAAGAGGAGCTTAGCACACCTTTGGCTAATCTTTTCAACATATCACTACAAACTGGCATGGTGCCAGATAAGTGGAAAATGGCAAATGTGATACCTATTTTCAAAACAGGTGACAGGTCCTTAGCTTCGAACTATAGACCAATAAGCCTAACCTCCATAGTGGGAAAATTTATGGAATCAATAATTGCCGAGGCAGTTCGTAGCCACCTTGAAAAGCATAAATTAATCAACGAATCTCAGCATGGTTTTACAAAGGGGCGTTCCTGCCTTACGAATTTATTAACTTTTTTCACTAAGGTATTTGAGGAGGTAGATCATGGTAATGAATATGATATTGTGTATATGGACTTCAGTAAGGCTTTTGACAGGGTCCCACATCAGAGACTATTGAGGAAAATTAAAGCACATGGAATAGGAGGAGAAATTTTTTCCTGGATAGAGGCATGGTTGACAAATAGGCAGCAGAGAGTTTGCATAAATGGGGAGAAATCAGAGTGGGGAAGCGTCACGAGCGGTGTTCCACAGGGGTCAGTGTTGGGCCCCCTGCTGTTCACAATCTACATAAACGACATAGATGAGGGCATAAAGAGCGACATCGGCAAGTTTGCCGATGACACCAAAATAGGCCGTCGAATTCATTCTGACGAGGACATTCGAGCACTCCAGGAAGATTTGAATAGACTGATGCAGTGGTCGGAGAAGTGGCAGATGCAGTTTAATACAGACAAATGCAAAGTTCTAAATGTTGGACAGGACAATAACCATGCCACATATAAACTAAATAATGTAGATCTTAATATTACGGATTGCGAAAAAGATTTAGGAGTTCTGGTTAGCAGTAATCTGAAACCAAGACAACAGTGCATAAGTGTTCGCAATAAAGCTAATAGAATCCTTGGCTTCATATCAAGAAGCATAAATAATAGGAGTCCTCAGGTTGTTCTTCAACTCTATACATCCTTGGTTAGGCCTCATTTAGATTATGCTGCACAGTTTTGGTCACCGTATTACAGAATGGATATAAATTCTCTGGAAAATGTACAAAGGAGGATGACAAAGATGATCCCATGTATCAGAAACCTTCCCTATGAGGATAGACTAAGGGCCCTGAAACTGCACTCTCTAGAAAGACGTAGAATTAGGGGGGATATGATTGAGGTTTATAACTGGAAGACAGGAATAAATAAAGGGGATGTAAATAGTGTGCTGAAAATATCTAGCCTAGACAGGACTCGCAGCAATGGTTTTAAGTTGGAAAAATTCAGATTCAGGAGGGATATAGGAAAGTACTGGTTTGGTAATAGAGTTGTGGATGAGTGGAACAAACTCCCAAGTACCGTTATAGAGGCCAGAACGTTGTGTAGCTTTAAAAATAGGTTGGATAAATACATGAGTAGATGTGGGTGGGTGTGAGTTGGACCTGATAGCTTGTGCTAACAGGTCGGTTGCCGTGTTCCTCCCTTAAGTCAATGTGACCTGACCTGACTAGGTTGGGTGCATTGGCTTAAGCCGGTAGGGACTTGGACCTGCCTCGCATGGGCCAGTAGGCCTTCTGCAGTGTTCCTTCGTTCTTATGTTCTTATGTTCTTATCTAAGAATATGGTAGTGAAGGATGGCAGGTGTTATCTAAGAATATGGTAGTGAAGGATGGCAGGTGTTATCTAAGAATATGGTAGTGAAGGATGGCAGGTGTTATCCACGAGTATGGTAGTGAAGGATGACAGGTGTTATCCACGAGTATGGTAGTGAAGGATGGCAGGTGTTATCCACGAGTATGGTAGTGAAGGATGGCAGGTGTTATCCACGAGTATGGTAGTGAAGGATGGTAGGTGTTATCCACGAGTATGGTAGTGAAGGATGGTAGGTGTTATCCACGAGTATGGTAGTGAAGGATGGCAGGTGTTATCCACGAGTATGGTAGTGAAGGATGGTAGGTGTTATCCACGATTATGGTAGTGAAGGATGGCAGGTGTTATCTAAGAATATGGTAGTGAAGGATGGCAGGTGTTATCCACGAGTATGGTAGTGAAGGATGGTAGGTGTTATCCACGAGTATGGTAGTGAAGGATGGCAGGTGTTATCTAAGAATATGGTAGTGAAGGATGGCAGGTGTTATCCACGAGTATGGTAGTGAAGGATGGCAGGTGTTATCTAAGAATATGGTAGTGAAGGATGGCAGGTGTTATCTAAGAATATGGTAGTGAAGGATGGCAGGTGTTATCTAAGAATATGGTAGTGAAGGATGGCAGGTGTTATCCACGAGTATGGTAGTGAAGGATGGTAGGTGTTATCCACGAGTATGGTAGTGAAGGATGGCAGGTGTTATCCACGAGTATGGTAGTGAAGGATGGTAGGTGTTATCCACGAGTATGGTAGTGAAGGATGGCAGGTGTTATCCACGAGTATGGTAGTGAAGGATGGTAGGTGTTATCCACGAGTATGGTAGTGAAGGATGGCAGGTGTTATCCACGAGTATGGTAGTGAAGGATGGTTGGTGTTATCCACGAGTATGGTAGTGAAGGATGGCAGGTGTTATCCACGAATATGGTAGTGAAGGATGGCAGGTGCTATCTAAGAATATGGTAATGAAGGATGGCAGGTGTTATCCACGAGTATGGTAATGAAGGATAGCAGGTGTTATCCACGAGTATGGTAATGAAGGATGGCAGGTGTTATCCACGAGTATGGTAGTGAAGGATGGCAGGTGTTATCTAAGAATATGGTAATGAAGGATGGCAGGTGTTATCCACGAGTATGGTAGTGAAATATGGCAGGTGTTATCTAAGAATATGGTAATGAAGGATGGCAGGTGTTATCCACGAGTATGGTAGTGAATGATGGTAGGTGTTATCCACGAGTATGGTAGTGCTACCTACATACTGAGAATTTGTCTGTAAGCAACGATAATTTCCGTTTCCCTGAAATACTGCGTCAGAAGTGTGCGTGTACACTGTGCTCAGTGTCAGGGATGGGGTTCCCAGCTCTCAAACGTCCTTTTTTATCGTAATTTGATGGTATATGTACAGGTGTTATTGCAAATGGTTCGTAAAGCTGGTGCGTAGACGAATGAGAGATTTGTTCAACACTTTGGTGTTAGTAGTAAAGCCAATGTTTGGCGACACATTGCCACAGTGTCTCACTGGTATGTACAGGTGTGTGTGTGTGGATATATACACTAAGGGCTTTGAGATTAAGACACATGTTCAACATCTGGGTATCTTTATTGTAGACGTTTCGCCATCCAGTGGCTTTATCAATACAAATTCTAGGACATAACTTGAAGACCGTAGAACTATGTACAGAAGATGAGGTAATCAGTCCACGACTATGGTGCTCTTCGCACCTACTCCTAGGTTGAGGGACTGATTACCTCATCTTCTGTACATAGTTCTACTGTCTTCAAGTTATGTCCTAGAATTTGTATTGATAAAGCCACTGGATGGCGAAACGTCTACAATAAAGATACCCAGATGTTGAACATGTGTCTTAATCTCATCTTGTCGGTATTATATACCATTCGTACACAACTAAGGGCTTTAATTCCTACTGTAGGTACCTTAATGAGGGTAGTGTGATCAATAGGACTCCCAGCTGAAGTGACAGCTAGTGAGACGTAATAACTAGACGAGGTCAGCCACATACCTCACTAATCAATTGTCCCGCAGCACAACCGTGCGCATCACTATTATGACGCTGTTGCGCTTTTAACACACACCACGCCAGCTACCTCTTTAAATTAAAAGTAATATAGTCAATTTGAGTTATCTGATGACAGATCGTTTCTGAAAACCTTGCGTCCATTAAATACAGGTTTATGGTTGTGTAATTTCTGTCGATGACTCGAGTGTGTTGCTTGAGTACATCACTGCTATGACTGGGTCACAACCTGTCTCTTACTGAGGTGTGTGAACCATGCGCCCTGGTAGGCCACTGTTTTTTGTCATCCTTATTGTAACACGTGCAACAGGCCAAGTGTCTAATCGACATGTGTCTGGGACAAAATGGTAACCAACCAACGTGTAAAACATATATACAGACATTTTTATCTCAGACCGGCAGAGTATATGAAGCCATGGACCTCACGGTCCTGGCCAGTTGTGGACCTCACGGTCCTGGCCAGTTGTGCACCTCACGGTTCTGGCCAGTTGTGCACCTCACGGTCCTGGCCAGTTGTGCACCTCACGGTCCTGGCCAGTTGTGCACCTCACGGTCCTGGCCAGTTGTGCACCTCACGGTCCTGGCCAGTTGTGCACCTCACGGTTCTGGCCAGTTGTGTCAAGTACACAGTACTTGAAGCACTCAGTCACACCTCTACATTAGCTTGTGTGGTCGGCGGCTCCAGCGCTTCATTAACAGTACGCAACAAGCGTATTTTTTTTCTAAATTGGCAATTATTTACAAACAGTTGCCGGTATTTAAGCAAACTGGTTTCTCTCCAGTAGTTTGAGAATGCCTCTTCTGCTCTGCTTCAAACCCTAAACACTGGTGTATCTTAGGTAAAAGTTTGGCTTGTGTAGGCGCTAATTCGTCGATTGTTTGAAGAAGTTGGGAAGACTTAATGGTTTTAATGCGATATTTTGTGAATGCCTTATCCGAATGGCTTCTGACTTAACGCCGATACCTTGAGAATGCAACTTCCGGAAGAATACAGACTTAGTGCTGGTGTATTGTTGGATATTGGTGCCTGTGCCGTAACTAAAGAATGCCTCTTTGTATTGACTTTAAACTTGCAAAGCTTTGGTATCTTAATGGAAGGTTCTTTTTGGGGGGCGGGGGGGGGGGTTGTGTAGGTTCCAATTCGCCATAAACTTTAGGATATCCGTTTCCTTGTGTAAACCTATGAACGTCTTTCCAGATCTTCAGTGCTGAGATTTAACTGTAATTAAATCTTATGCCGCATTTTGTACCAATCCTTGTATGAACATCAAGGTAGAGGAGGCTGGGTTTATGGGATACCTTTCTCGTGTCACTCTGCAACTGTAACGTGTAGTGTTTTGTGTGTCAGTGTGCATTCTTGTGTGAACTGTTTATAGTGAGGGTTAGTTGTAGGTTGTAAGCAAGTGAGCTAGGTTGTAAGTAATCAGGATTAGCTGTAGCAGAGTTGTGTGCATGCGAGTGCTAGTTTTGTCACTGCATGACACTGATTGACCTTCTTACTCTAGGATTCTCTACAGTTTTAACACTTCTACATCATAGTTGTAAAGATTGCATATTGAAGTATAACATTGCTTTTTGGTGTGTTTTTGTGCAAACATTATACTGGAATGGGGTTCCGAAGTGCATTTACTGCAATATACGTATAATCCCTAGCATGATGCAGGGTGTTGTTGGGTGTATAGGGGACAAGTTTGTTTATTGTAATTTATGTTCAGTTTTATGTAGTGAATTTGGAGTGTAGGAGATGTGTAGTGCTTGTCATTATTATAGTGTGCGACGTTGGTGGGGTCGGTGCCCCCTCCCCCTGAGGTGCCTGTACCACGCAACATCTGCACCGGGGTCTCCGTGGCCCACATGGTGAGTACCCTATGTCACCATTCAACTCACACCTAGTGTAGCGTTCACCCTAGTAGCAGCCACTGGGTGTACCGTACACGTGTGCCTGATGTACGAAACACCGGTGGCGTACACAGTTCTTTCTGTATTAAGTTATCAGTACTTAAACAACTCAGCACCGTCTACATCCACATTTACAACCAATAAACCCCTGTCCTACAAGCTCACAGCCTCGCCATAAACCCCTGTCCTACACGCCCACAGCCTCGCCCACACCCAACTCCTAGCCACACTTACAACCACATCCCACACGCCCACACCCACGGTGCACCGTCTGAGCCTAGTTGTTATGAGTGTTTGAAGCCCCAAGTGAATCTAGAAGACAGTATATGCACTAAGAACCTGCAGAGAGTTCCCAGTACATGACTTGAGGGACCCTCGACCCACCGCACGCCGACCCACCCACTGCACGCCGACCCACCCACTGCACGCCGACCCATCCAGTATTGTCTGAATAAATGCTTAATAGATGCATCTTTAAAAAGAGTGATGCACGCCCTTAAGAGGCATGCAAGTACCCCTATATTGGACAAGATAGATTATAGTGGAAAAATGAACATGTTATTAGAAGTCAGGGGTACTTACGTGCCCTTAACATGACGCTTCCTCGTTATCACAGTTAATTCTCAGTTAGGTTGGCTTAGATTTGGTTGTGTTAGATTAGGTTGCCCTCTCTCCATAGAAAGTAATCAGTTACATTGCAACGGAAAAAACGTACATATAAGATAACAGCGGGAAAACAGTTGTCACGGACCAGAAAACCGACACCGTTGAGTGAGACATACCAGCTGCAACTGTCAGACTTTCACGGTTTAAAGTGCAGTCATCGGTCACCCATTTGATATCTGTACAACAGTGACATGATGACTGTGATTAAGAAAACGGATTGGGCACACCAACATGATACACTGTAACCCCCCCCCCCCCCGTCCACACACACACCTGCATAACTCAGTTTTAGAACAAAGAAAATATTTTGTCTAGTCAGATGACCAAAAGCTCCAGCTGTGGGTCATCATATGACTTAAGACCCGCGTCAGGAAACACTTGTCCTGTTTCCTGGCAAACCTTACTTACCTAACCTAACCTTCTGTACATTTTGTATTGAGGCTGACCTGAGGTATTGTCTCAAGTTACCAACACTGAGGAGAGTAATTCCTCCACGTGGAGGAAGTCACTATTTGTGGAGTGAGGAAGAGTGGAGAAGGGCAGTGGGTTAGTTGATTACTGGAGGAAGGTAGGGAGGACGGACGGAAGGTAGGAGGGAGGAAGGAAGGAAGGGAGGGAGGGAGGAAGGAAGGAATGTAGGGAGGAAGGAATGTAGGGAGGAAGGTAGGTAGGTTAGGGAAGGAAGGTAGGTAGGGAGGAAGGAAGGAAGGAAGGAAGGTAGGGAGGGAGGAAGGTAGGGAGGAATGAAGGAAGGTAGGAGAGAGGAAGGAAGGTAGGGAGGGAGGAGAGGTAGGTACGTAGGGAGGAAGGTAGGTAGGGAGGAAGGTAGGTAGATAGGGAGGGAGGTGAGGAAGGTAGGTAGGAAGGGAGGGAGGTGTAGGGAGGGAGGGAGGAAGGTAGGTAGGGAGGGAGGAAGGTAGGGAGGGAGGTAGGTAGGTAGGGAGGGAGGGAGGAGGTAGGGATGGGAGGAAGGTAGGTAGGGAGGGAGGAAGGTAGGTGGGAGGGAGGAAGGTAGGTAGGGAGGGAGGGAGGGAAGGTAGGTGGAGGGAGGAAGGAAGGTAGGAGGGAGGGAGGAAGGTAGGGAGGAAGGTAGGAAGAAGGTAGGTGAGGAAGGAGGAAGGAAGGAAGGTAGGTAGGGAGGGAGGAAAGGGTAGTAGGGAGGAGAGGAAGGTAGGTAGGGAGGAGGAGGAAGGTAGGAGTAGGAGAAAGGAGGAAAGGTAAGGAGAAGGAGGGAGGAAGGTAGGTAGGAGGGGAGGAAGGTAGGTAGGAGAAAGAAGGAAGGAAGGATAGGGAGGGAGAAGGTAGGAAGGTAGGTAGAGGGAGGAGAGGAAGGTAGGTAGGGAGGGAGGGAGGAAGGTAGGGTAGGGAGAGTAGGAGGGAGGAGGAAGGAAGGTAGGGAGGGAGGGAGGAGGTAGGGAGGAAGGAAGGTAGGTAGGGAGGGAGGAAGGGTAGGGGAGGGAGGGAGGGAGAAAAGGTAGGTAGGTAGGGAGGGAGGAGAGGTAGGGAGGGGAGGGGAGGGAGGAAGGAAGGTAGGTAGGGAGGGAGAGGAGGTGAGGGAGAAAGGTAGGTAGGTAGGGAGGGAGGAAGGTAGGGAGGGAGGGAGGAAGGTAGGTGTAGAGAGGGAGGAAGGTAGGGAGGGAGGAAGGAAGGTAGGAAGGAAGGTAGGAAGGAAGGTAGGTAGGTAGGAAGGAAGGTAGGTAGGAAGGAAGGAAGGAAGGAAGGAAGGAAGGGAGGTAGGAAGGTATCTTTTAAAGAGTAATGAATGACGTGCACGCTATCCTGGTAACAGTAGTCGTAGTAGTGTTGCCACTTTTAAGTAAAGTGTTGACGTTGATGGTTGCTCAGTGTTGCATGCACCTCACTCGCCTCAACACTGTGCTGTCTTCACAACACCATGAAGAAAATGCATGTCTTTTTTCACCTCATAACTCAACCAAAGGATATATTTTAAACTTATTTCTGTTATGTAGCCTCGACCTTTTTTTTTTTTTTTTTTTTTTTGTAAGATTTAACAATTCACGTAAACAAACAAGCATTTCATATTGTTTGTTAAGGGTAAAACTTTGTTTATTCTCATAGCCTCGTTAACTAACTTCATTGTTAAGATGTGTTAGTCTACAGTAAGATAGATTTATGTACAAGGAAAAGATATATTGTGGGTAATACTCCCAACATTGTAAGTTGGTGTGTTAAGGACTAACAATTATACTGGTATAAAATATCTCCAGGTTGATGCTGGCGTCACCTCTTAACTCACACATTATGGTCAATTAAACTTAATTTCTGACATAACTTTTGATAATTTCCTGAAGCTACAAAATATTTTAATGTTCCAGGAATTTTCCAGGACCTCAAGACAAGTTGAGCCAAATGGAACAACACTAAAGAAAGAGTTATATATATATATATATATATATATATATATATATATATATATATATATATTATATATATATATATATATATATTATATATATATATAATATGTATCTATCACTACTATGTGTTTATTGATGCTCTTGTCTAATGTTATATATTTTTTATTTTATTTCAGCTGGTAAAACGTTCACATATATATATTTTTTCAGCTTTTCGGTTTGGTTATTTTGGTTAAATTTAGTTAGAAATTATGTTAGTTTGGGATAGGCTTTCCTAGGAATATTTATATACGTTAAGCACCACAGAGCCATCCATAAGACACTTCAGGAGAGGATCTCAAGAATCACTTGTAGTATTCAAAGTGCTTTACATTCGTCGTGTAATTTATCTTTAACACGATGTTTCATTTCTTATTGAAATCTTCTCCTGGAATTTGCCTTTAATTATATTAAAACCTAATTTGCACTTTTCTGCACCTTGGTTGTAGGCGCTGTAGTTGTATCCAGTACTTATGCCTCTCTCGCTCTCAAAAAATGTATTGTTTAATTTTTGGAGAGTTGTCTGAAGTATTTTTAAAAATTATCTTAAAAATAAGTAATTTTCCATCTTTGTGTTAGTGGTGTGAATTGTTAAATTCAGGTAATAATTTTAATTATATTAAGGATACTGTATACTTGGCTAGTTTCAAAATCTTTATACTTATTCTACCATTGTTTGGTTTAACTTCTCTCTTCAGAATATTAAACTCTCCTCTCTTGGATTATAATGTACTTTATGTTGTAAGATTATTGACGTTCCCAACATTATACTGTTCTCTGACCTCACGTTTGATGACTAAATCAAGTGTTGATGACTCTACTCACACTGCACACACTCGTACTCTACACATCTCGCTGACGTTAATTTTCATCGACATTATCGTCTTTTTTTTTTCATAATTGAGAGGTTTTGTCTCTTACATAGCCTAATTTTTGTAATTCCCTTTTATTATTTACTGTGTTGTCTGTGTGTTCCTGTTATGTGTTGTAAGTTGTGTGACTGTTTTCACTGTCCTGATGTGACTGACTGTACATCACCGTGGTAACTGTACCACTGACACTGTACCATGATTACATCACCATGGTAATTGTACCACTGACACTGTACCATGACTACATCACCGTGGTAATTGTACCACTGACACTGTACCATGACTACATCACCGTGGTAATTGTACCACTGACACTGTACCATGACTGTACATCACCATGGTAACTGTACCACTGACACTGTACCATGACTGTACATCACCGTGGTAACTGTACCACTGACACTGTACCATGACTACATCACCGTGGTAACTGTACCACTGACACTGTACCATGACTACATCACCGTGGTAATTGTACCACTGACACTACCATGACTTTACATCACCGTGGTAACTGTACCACTGACACTGTACCGTCTTCCCACCGTGTAGAAAGCGAGGTATCAGTACCGTGACGACCTGCTGGCCAAGCACGTGGGGCCGCGGGTGAGGTCCTTCGATGCTACCAAAATGAAGAACAAGTTCGAAAAACCTAAGGTAACCCATCCCCGACCCCCGTCAATCGAGCACCTCCCCCTTCCCCAGCCCCTCCCCAGCATCACCCATTCTCCAGCTCCTCCCCCCTGCCTCTCCTCTATGCATCACCCATCCTCAGCCCCTCTCCTGAACCACCCCCAGCATCACCCTCCAGCATCATCACCCTCCCCAGCATCACCCTCTCACACGGTCGCAAATATTAAATCATTAACAGAAATAAACTCATTTTAATATTTTTTTGTTAATTTACGACGTTAAACAATTTATTTACCGCTATTAACATAGTTTAACAAACAGCTGGATTTATTTTTTTGTTATATTAACATTTATTCCTGTGACATAGTTACTTTCGTTTGAATTTTCTAAAATCTTACTCAGATTAACTTTAATGTGTGTCATAATAACACCTGTACGAGCGTGAACACCTGTCTTGCTATTGATGTTATGTCAGTGTAGTTTATAACTGACGTGTGGAGGGTGTTGGTAACATTGGTCGCTAGTTGATACCTCTCAACCATGGGAAAACCACACTGTTGTGTTGGTCGCTAGTTGACACCTACCAGCCATGGGAGAACCACACTTTGTGGGCACTATTTGACACCTCTGAACCATGGAAGAACCACACCGTAATGATCGCTAGTTGACACCTACCAACCGTGGAAAGACGGCACTATGTTGTGTTGACTAGTTTTGTCTTGTGCCGGGATACGTGTTGAAGGAACACGGTTATGCAGTATTGCCCACGAGTCTACTTCCCTAGCGTTGAAGTACACCAGTCTGCATCCATCCTTCCCTCTCACACCTCATATACACTTGGAGCAAGTTTAGACATGGTTATACTGCTGGTGAGTGAAGGAGCCTCGTCTTCACCTTCCAGTCGAGTATGTACCAATTACCCTTACTTGATTAACACTAAAGATTTCTCAGTCATCAGTAATATTTAATACAAGATACTGGTAAATGGTAGATCACTATATGGGCAATATGACTCATTACAAGACAAAAAAATTATTACATAATGCTAACATGGTACACTTACCAGGTATTTCACTGTTGGTCTTCCACTTGAGCAATACACTTTGTGATACTGCAGTTTCTTAGGTCTTAGTCTCCAGTACCAGTACTCAGAACCAGTACTGACAACACTCTTCCTTCGCACAAGTCTTGGTGCTTATGGCAGTCTGAATACGTCCAAGGCTTCTCCCCGTGGGCAGTTCCACTCCTCCCTGTGATGAAGGAACACGGTTCTCCTTGTTTTACACCCACATTCCATCTAGAATGGATTGAAATGAGTATCGGTATATCAAGGGTCTGCCACGGGTAGGTGCGCTCAGTACCACATCTGCCTCTTTCCAACACATTTCTGGCATCATTCACGTAATATATATATATATATAATATATATATATATATATATATATATATATATATATATATATACTAGCAACTTGTCCCTTTGGTGGCATGAAGTGCCCTCAGTACTTAATGAACCTTCAACATGATGTTGTCAGAGCTGTGTGGCCCTCTGTTGCTGGACCATTAAGACCGTGTGGTCCTCTGGAGCTGGACCACTAGTGTCATATGCACCGTACACCATTAAGGGTGTGTAGTAGCCGTCAAAGCACAAGGGAGCATCATCTGAGTATAATAAACGACTTCCGCAGCAGCAGTGTTCCCCAGGTCGAGCAGACACGAACAGGCGTTAGAGGTGCTTAATGGTAATTACAAAGTCCATGGCTCGTACCTGTCTCGCTCCACTACACACAAGGGAACATTTAACCTGCCATTAAGCCAGAATCTTAGCTGTGTAATGAACGTTTGCTGGTGCTCACACTAATTTATTACATTTACTTGACAACAACAAAATATATATCTTGTTTAATAAGTTTTATTTAGTGTGTCGTTCGCCAGGTGTTAGTTTGCTACCACAACGTCAGTTTTTGATGGTGAGAAGTGCAAGTCACTGTGCTGTGTATTATCTGACGTAAATACAGCATATTTTTTTTCTTTATTTGTTCACCAATTAGTTTTTGCATAGTTTCTTTGTACAACACACACTGAGAGGTTACTAGAAGTATTATATAAGTGGCGCCACCTCCACTCATTCTACTAGTAGTAGTGTCTAAATTAAGAGGCTCCGCCTTCACTCATTCCACTAGTATTATCTAAGTTAAGGTGCGTCACTCCCTACTCATTCCACTTAAAACCTCCTACGAGGGTCCTGGAGGTCAGTGTCACTCATGTCACAACTGCTTCAAGAGCAGTGTCCTGTGTAGTGAGTGTTGCACACTGTGGAATGAGGGGGGGGGGAAAGAGTGTGTGTGTGTGAGGGGTGTACGAGTGTGGGTGTGTGGGGGGGGGGTGTATGAATGTGGGTGAATGGATGAGTGTTCATTTAAGTTGGCACCTGTACAATACCTCCACCTCCTGCTGCGTCATCATCCTCATCATCATTCTGCATGATGCATCTTCCCTTAGACATCAACGTCCACGCTGCAACTTTATGCTCCATACGCTAGGTTCAGATTTAAGTGCTATGTAACGGGCAAAGATCACAGGCCACCTTGATGCTGATAGAGTTCTCTTGATCCCAGGAAATAGTTATGCTGCCTTTGTTGGGATTACCTTCCCTTCCCCAAGAACTTTGTACTCCCATACGGGTTTAGCCCTTCCCCAAGAAAACGGCAGTAACACTTTGTAGAAGACATGGTCTACGTGAAGGTTAGTATCAGCAGGAGCAGAGGGGGAGATACATTGGGGAAGTGACCTCCCCACCTGGTCAATAATAGGTCAACCTGCGTCGAGCAGAAATCATTCCCTCCCCCTCCCCCATTTCCCTGATCCCTCCAGGAGATGATAACCTCTCGCCCTCGCTGAGTCACTGTGGTCACCCACTGTATATACACGAGTCTTCTATAGTCTTGGTGTGGCATTTTGGCCCTGGTGGGTAGGTGTGGTATTGTGGCCCTGGTGGGGGTGTGGTCCTGGTGTGGCATTGTGGTAGGCCAGGTGTGGGCCCGGCGTGGAACATGGCATCATAATAAAGACGACAGTGAGAGGAGAGGATCAGTGACACACATCTTGGTAATAAAGTTGTCTCGCTAGGGAAGACTCGTATCCTCGTGAGAAGCGACCATCGCAGACATTGTACAGTAAAGCTTCACACACTAGCTTCAGCTACAATCACGGGCTCAGTTCAGCTCGTAAAAACCTTTAATTAAACCAGCTCACGCACACTATCTGCATTTTAATTTATCAGTCAGTGCCATTAAATACATCCATTTCATTTTTCTTATTCATATTTCCTTCATTTTACGTTAGGGTCGTTTAGATTACAATAAACCTATTTAACTATAAAAGGAAGTTCTCAAATGTCGGTGGTACAACTGGCAATGAGGAGGTGGAGGGTAAAAAAAAAAAAGAGCAGCGTTCTGATATGAAGGCTAATGACTGTGTGGGAGACTGAGCTGGGTCACGATACCAGGAGTTTTGTTGACACCAGTGTAACTTATAACTGGGTCGTACCTGCTACACTTAACTACACAACACCATGATACAGTAGCCACCAGCTGTTGTAGCAGCCAGGTGTGTGATGAGGAAGGTGAAGTGTGTGTGTGTGTTTGTGTTGTGTGTTTGTGTGTGTGTGTGTTACTAACACAGGTGTCTCTCCCCCACATGCTGCCACAGGTACACCTGGTCACCCAGGTGTTTCAGGAGTTACTACGAACGGTACAACACAGACGGGTATTTTGTCAACTTTGTATAATCCTCTCATATTTTTCCCAAGGCTCTCAGCTCACCCCCCCCCCCTTCAACCCCCTCATTAAAGACGGGCACCGTAGGCCGGACCTAACCAGCACAGTCATGTACATTTTCTATAAATCCCATAAAACATTTTCGCTTTTGTAGTTTTTCAGTGGAAGATATTGCAAAAAATGCAAATGTATGGGGATCTGTATAACTACTTGAAGTATTGAAGGTAGCAATCATGTTTTATACGAGTAACAGTCTTGTTACGGTGTGTTTGTTACAAGTTGGCAGCATAATACTCTGGAAAACATACACAGATACAGTATAATGCGATCCTTTATTAAGTACATTTCGGCCAGACAGTGGAGTTTATCAAGTCACAAACAGATCTGTCAGTCTTTTATGTCATTTCTCTGCATAATACTCTCTTGAGTAGACATTAAAGAAATGAATGGTAGTGGTTGTACTTGTGTTGACAGTTATCATGAACCTCGTGTTGACTCAGGATAACTGTGTTGTGTGGTGTGTGTGTGTGTGTGTGTGTGTGTGTGTGTGTGTGTGTGTGTGTGTGTGTGTGTGTGTGTGTGTGTGTGTGTGTGTGTGTAACTACATAAACTCACATGAGAATTTTTGTATGTGAGGTGGGTTAGTGCTGTTTACAGTCTGAGCTGCAGACGGGTCTGCAGCTCAGACACGTTACTCGCACATTAACTCCAACAATAATTTAATTTAAAAGAAAGGGGGATTAAACTCAAGGTATATATACGCTGAGAGTTGGATAGTTTATAGAGTTTCAAGTCTACCGACTACATGATGATCATGAAAGCTGCATGTCGCCTGCACACCAGTCAATGCTTTAAATCCTCAAAATACTGCTTCATGTTAACTTACATTGTATATATACTGAGAGATGCATACCTCTGTCGCCCTGTGTGCAGGTAGGTTTCCGGCCTGCGTGTGTCCTCCTAGGACGATGTGTGGGGGGGTTGAGGTGGGGTTCTCCTTGGGTGGGGGGGATCCCCCCGGACCAGAGGGACTAAACGATACTTCACCACCACCCCGCCCTCTCCCCCCTTTTCACAATGCGTGCACTATCCCTCTTCACCACACAGTGTCATCATAACACACACTCGCCTGGTAGATTACTGTCATCACTACCTCTGTGACGCACCTCACTCTCAGACTGCTCGCTCAACCTGTAATTCATTGTGAGCACAGTAATTACGCACCAGGGAGTTACTCTGAACCACTTGTACGCACCAGGGAGTTACTCTGAACCACTTGTACGCACCAGGGAGTAACTCTGAACCACTTGTACGCACCAGGGAGTAACTCTGAACCACTTGTACGCACCAGGGAGTAACTCTGAACCACTTGTACGCACCAGGGAGTAACTCTGAACCACTTGTACGCACCAGGGAGTAACTCTGAACCACTTGTACGCACCAGGGAGTAACTCTGAACCACTTGTACGCACCAGGGAGTAACTCTGAACCACTTGTACGCACCAGGGAGTAACTCTGAACCACTTGTACGCACCAGGAGTAACTCTGAACCACTTGTACGCACCAAGGAGTAACCTTTAAGCACTTCATTTGCATTTTTGACATAGAGATTGACCCAGCGAGTGACACACTCAGGTATTGCAAGCAAGCAAGCAAGCATGTGTTAGTGTTAACCTTACACACGTCTTCCTTATGGACATAACCTTCTCCGCATATCTGTTCTGTACATGTTTTCCATATCTTCAGTGTACCTCATCCACACCTCTCTTCCTTCCACACACATCTTTCATCACGTCTTCTCACAAATCTTTCTTAATATGTCTTATCCACTGGTTTTTCATTCAGTTTCACTTGGTTTTTTCATAAATACGAGCAGAATTGTGGATATAAAAACACCGTTCGTGATTATATATATATATATATATATATATATATATATATATAATATATATATATATATATATAATATATATATATATTTATATTTAAGTATAAATACAATAGATGCATGGACTTCGGAGGGTTATTGACATCGTCCTCACCAACAGCCTGACTGGTTAGATGTCGGATCGCAATTAGTATAGATTGTAGGAGCTTCCATTACCACAGGATGATCGCTTCATATTGTATACCAGACCCGCAATAACGCACCATGGGAGGTCGTGGGAGCATGTGGGCGTCACAGATAACCCATGATGACAGGCGGTGTAACACGGTTCATACCCCAGGGTTCCCTGGTGCCCATAACCCACTTCTGAGTCGCTTCAGAGTTCCGCATTGCAATCTTCGGGGCTCAAAATATTCGCAGTCAGAACCTAGAGTTTTGGAGTCTTCGGGATTGGATGCATCTAATTCGTAATTTTCGTTTTCGCTGGTGTTGCAGCAGAGAACCCTCAGGTCTTCACGCCACAAAACACGACTCTCGAGACGGTCCTTCATTCTTGAAACTAAAGAATCTCGTTCCACAATTCACATTCCCCACTTCCCCCTCCCTTAACCCCCGTCCTCAGCTTCTCCCCATTTATTCCCCCCCTCTTTATGACATGACTAAACGCTGACGTCTTATTAATGTCACTGTTATTTCCTCCTCGTTCTTCCCACCAACATTCTCAACACGACTCTCCGTCTTGGGTTTTATTAATTTATTTCTGTGTATGATGCTGATAGGGGATGCGACGGTTGTTCTCGCTCGCTGCTGTTCACGTTCACGCTTATTCTTCTTTTCTCTCTGCTGCATGACGCGGGACCTTTGCATGTCGTGTCTACACACACACACACACACACACACACACATACACATTCAGTCATACATTCCTCTGTGTGCACGTCATGTATTTGCATGTGCACCATCTCCACAATCATGTACCACTGCATGTGCGTGTGTGTGCACTGAACCTCATGACTGTATGCACCACTTGCCCATTTGTATGGTTTTTTTTGCATCTGTTTTATTTTCTGTGCACCACTTGCATGTGCGTGTGTACTCACCAACTACGTGTACACGGTGGGCGGCGTGTGTACGTTTCTGGATCCCTGGTGGTGGTGGGACAGGATCCCTTCCCTCTCTACTCTCTACTCTACCTGCACGACCACGTAAGTAGCAATCACTCTTCTACGTCTACCCGGTGCTACCTCTGCCACTCTACTTTTACCTCAAGCTCTAAGTCTACTTCAGATTCACAGACTCTGCTTCTACCAGTGGCTTTATTGCAGTTCAAATTCTCACTCCTTGGTTCCACTTAATGTTTCTACCTCTGCTTGAGTCTCTACCTCAACTTCGGGTTCTACTTCTACCTAAGATTCTGTCTACCTCTACTTCACGATCTACCTTAGGTGATGTTCCAGAGGCCATACTTAAAAAATTTCTTAACATTCGTTAATGTCATACCATTTCTCTCTCTCTCTCTCTCTCTCTCTCTCTCTCTCTCTCTCTCTCTCTCTCTCTCTCCTCTCTCTCTCTCTCTCTCTCTCTCTCTCACCACCATAAAAGTTCCCTTTCTCTATTATCTTGTTATAAATAAGTTGTAGCTTATTTAATTTTTGAATGTGGAAATTAACACTGCAAACTCTGTCATTACAATTTGGCGTCAGTAAATCACTGACTGGTTTTTTTCCGTTCTTCAGCCTCGAGGCTGTGAATCTGGTTTACCAGAGACTTTATGAATGTCCGAATCTTGTAGCCTCGAGGCTGGCAGTGGAACAGATTCAGAGATCATCTTTTTCCACCATAGAACCAATATAGCATTTAAATTACTGGGAATGCTTCAAAATATTTACTCACTGGAGCGGAGAAGATACACGTGGTAATATATTATCTACGTGGAAAGTTCTTGACGTCCTGGTCCAAATCTGCACACTGCCATAACAAACTGGAGTGAGACAAATGGGAGGAAGTGAAAAATAAACCCAGTGACAAGTAGGGGGGCGCCGTGGGCACAATAAGAAAACACTGTATCAACATCTGTGGTTCCAGACTTCTTAACATCTTACGAGAAGATATCAGGAACATTTCTGGGACAAGTGGAGATGTCTTCAAGAGGAAACTAGACAATTTCCTCCTCCAAATACCGGATCAGCCAGGCGGTGAGGAATATGTGGACCAGAGGGCTGCCAGCAGCAACAGGCTGGTTGACCAGGCAAGCACCAGACAAGCCTGTGTCAGGGCCAGGCTGCGAGAGTAGGAAAACTCCGGACATTCATTAAGCTATATCAAAGAATGAGCCTCAAAACTCCATAAATGTATGCCAGATTTCCGACATTACCCTAACTCCGATAGATTTCGAAAAAGCCATTGACAACATGCCTATGCACTCAGCCCCGGGCCCAGACTCGTGGAACTCTGTTTTCATTAAGAACTGCAAGAAACCCCTCTCGCGTGCCCTAAGTACACTATGGAGGAGGAGCTTGGACATGGGTGAAATTCCACAGTCACTTAAAACAACGGATATAGCCCCACTCCATAAAGGTGGCAGCAAAGCATTAGCTAAGAACTATAGACCAATAGCTCTGACATCCCACATCATAAAAATCTTTGAAAGAGTGCTAAGAAGCAGGATTGCAAATCACCTGGATTCCCAAAATCTGCACAATCCAGGGCAACATGGGTTCAGGGCAGGTCGCTCCTGCCTCTCACAACTACTGGATCACTATGACATGGCCTTGGATGCACTGGAAGAAAATCAGAATGCAGATGTAATATACACAGACTTTGCAAAAGCATTTGACAAATGCGATCATGGCGTAATAGCCCATAAAATACGTGCTAAAGGAATAACTGGGAAAGTGGGGAGATGGATCTTCAACTTCCTAACAAATCGAACACAGAGTATTGGTCAACAGAGTTAAATCGGAGGCTGCCATAGTGAAGAGCTCTGTTCCACAAGGCACAGTACTCGCCCCCATCTTATTCCTTATCCTCATATCAGACATAAACAGAGATATACACCACAGCACCGTATCATCCTTTGCGGATGATACTAGGATCTGCATGAGGCTGTCATCTGCTGAGGACGCGGTTAACCTCCAAGAAGATATAAACAAAGTTTTCCAGTGGGCAACGGTAAACAATATGATGTTCAATGAGGACAAATTCCAACTACTCCGTTACGGAAAACTGGAGGAGATAATAATAACTAGAACAGAGTATACTACTGACTCCGGCCATACAATAGAGCGGAAAAATAATGTAAGGGACCTGGGAGTAGTAATGTCTGAGGATCTCACTTTCAAGGATCACAACAGTGCCACGATCGCACGTGCAAAGAAAATGATAGGATGGATAATGAGAACTTTCAAAACGAGAGATGCCAAGCCCATGATGATCCTTTTCAAATCACTTGTTCTCTCTAGGCTGGAATACTGCTGTACATTAACATCTCCATACAAAGCAGGTGAAATCGCAGATCTAGAGAGTGTACAGAGATCCTTTACTGCACGTATAAGTTCTGTCAAGCACCTTAACTACTGGGAACGCTTGGAAGCACTTGACTTGTACTCGTTGGAACGCAGGAGGGAGAGATATATCATAATCTACACTTGGAAAATCTTGGAAGGAATGGTCCCAAATCTGCACACAGAAATCACTCCCTACGAAAGTAAAAGACTGGGCAGGCGATGCAAAATGCCGCCAATAAAAAGTAGGGGCGCCATTGGTACACTAAGAGAAAACACCATAAGTGTCCGGGGCCCAAAACTGTTCAACAGCCTCCCATCAAGCATTAGGGGAATTGCCAATAAGCCCCTGGCTGCCTTCAAGAGAGAGCTGGACAGATACCTAAAGTCAGTGCCGGATCAGCCGGGCTGTGGCTCGTACGTCGGACTGCGTGCGGCCAGCAGTAACAGCCTAGTTGATCAGGCCCTGATCCATCGGGAGGCCTGGTCATGGACCGGGCCGCGGGGGCGTTGATCCCCGGAATAACCTCCAGGTAACCAGAGACGTTCTACATAAACTACTGAACCGTTCTTATAGTTTCCAGGCTGGGAAACTCCATCAGAGACGTTCTACATAAGTGATTCAATCTTGTTCTTCCGTTCTCGTCGCCTCGAGAGCTGTATTCAGTAAATCTAGATTACTAGAGACTTTCATCAAGCAGTCCGTCTCCCTCGTGTCAGCCATGAGATGTCAGCGGCTGGTCAGCCATAAGCCTAGGCTGCAACATTCCAGGTGTAGATATTATTGCCAGAGTTGAGGCAGTATGTTGCTCTGTCATCCTGGGTAAAAAAAAAATGTCCTTCATTCTGTGGAACGAGCGAGGGGAAGGAAGGGGAGGGGATAAGAGGGAGGGAGGGAGTGGTGTGTCACGGGGCAGTAATAACTACTGCCTCAAATCTCCCACCTCTCCTCCCTGGCTCCCCCTCCCTTTCCTCCCCTCTCCCCTTTCCTTTCGTCTCCCAGGCACCCCTCCCTTTAGTGGCATTGAGTCACTACCCCCACCTCACTTGCCTTGACCTCTCTTCCTATTTCATTTTCCTCCTCGTTCCTTCCCTTTGTTCACTGACCCTTGTTACTACCCTTTGTTCACTGACCCTTGTTACTACCCTTTGTTCACTGACCTTCCCTTGTTCCTCCCAATTGTTTACTGCCCTTCCTGGTGAGCAGTCATACTCTGCGTCATACGTAATTGTCGCTGCGTCATACGTAATAGTCTGCGTCCCGGACCCTGACTCATGGAACTCCATATTCATCAAGAATTGCGAGAAGTTGTTATTCGACGGGAAAAATCCAAATCTAATCTATTACTACGTATTTTAAATATTGTGTGGAGGTGGAAGCTGGACACTGGAATCATTCCAGTCTTGAAAAAAACACAAAAGTGGCAGTAAAGTAATTGCCCCCCCCAAAAATATATATAGACTGATAGCACTGACGTCCCATATGAAGATTTTTGAAAGGGTCTTAAGCCACATTACCAATCACATGCAATCCCTGCAGTAGCACAACCCAGGTCAATATGGGTTCAGAACAGGTCGTTCCTGCGTCTTGCAGTTGCTGGGCCACATACAGATGGTCTCGGATGCACGTGGAGACAAGTAAAATCTCAGTAGTAACTACTGAGAAAAATGCTGTATACGCCGACTTTGCAAAAGCCTTTGACAAATGCGATTACGTCGTAATTGCTCACAAAATGTGTGCAAAAGTCGTAACTGGGAAGGTGGGCGAATATATAACCTTTTTAACCAAAAGAACCCAAAGAGTAATAGTAAACTGAGTGAAATCAGGGACTGCTACAGTGGAAAGGTCTGTCCCCAAGGCAGGGTACTCTCTCCACTTCTCTTCGTCATTCTCATTTCTGAGAGACAGGGACATCAGTTATAACACTGTATCTTCCTTTGCAGGCGATGCTAGAATCAGTATAAAAGTGTCGGTCATAGAAGATACAGCGAGACTCCAAGCTGATATCACTGACAATAATGTGATCAGTGAGGACGAATTTCAGTTGCTTCATCACGGAAGAATGGAGGAAATAAAAATAAGATCAGAGTACAAGACAAACTTAATCCACTCATTAGAACGTAAATCAAATGTGAGAGACCTGGGAGTTATAATGTCAGATCTCACGTTCAAGGAGCACAACAATTTTATCATCGCAGCTGCAAAAGAAATTATTATTTGGATAACTATATCTTTCAAACAAGATATACCAACCCACTGATGACACTCAAGTCGCTCGTTCTCTCTAGGCTGGAGTATTGCTGTGCACTAACGAACCTCCTTCAAGACAGGTGAAGTTGCTGAGCTGGAAAGCATACAGAGAAACTTTACAGTTCCTATCAGCTCAAACACCTAACTTACTACGGTGCTCTCCACCAACTCCAAGACTGAGGGACTGATTACCTTACCGTTTGTATAAATTTCTACATTCTTCAAATTACATCCTTGTACTGATAAAGCCACTGGATGGCAAAACGTCTACAAATAAAGATGCCCAGATGTTCCACATGTCCAATTCTTCATCTTGTACGTAGGTGTTGTATACCATTCATGTACAAGAACTGTGCTCCTTAGAATGTAAGCGAGAAAGATACACTATAATTTACACCTGGAAGACTCTGGAGGGATTCTTCGCAAATCTGCACTCTGAAATTACTATTTATGAACACAAGAAGCTTGGCAGACGGTGCAGGATACCTCATTGAAAAGCAGGGGAGCGATGTGTTCACTGAGAGAGAACTCTAAGTGTTAAGGGACCACGACTCAACACCCTCCCTTCATGCATAAGGAGGAACACCAACCCCTGGCTAGACTCTCCAGTTATCCCTCGCATCTTTACTTCTCTGTTCTTTGAATTCAAGTTTCTCTCTTGTTCCTTCATATTTTGTCTTATTTCCTATTCATTGTCATCCTTCTGATTTTCTTTTCTTACTCTCTTCTTATTCACTCTTCATTCTCTTATTCACGCTCTTCCTTCTCTCATACACTCTTACTGTTCACTCTGGCACAGTGTCAACAAAGCCAGGCTCAGGGTTGGGCTCTGGCTCTTGGAAAACTCTGGAAATCCTTCAAAGGTATGGATGGTATTATCTTTTATTACTCTTTCTTATTTCCTCACTACCTTCTGTTTAATGTGATGTCTTATGTTATATATGTTACATGTGATGTGTTGCTTGTTTTGTGTTTCATGTGGTGTCTTGTTTCATGTGGTGTCTTGTTTCATGTGGTGTCTTGTTTCATGTGGTGTCTTGTTTCATGAGGTGTCTTGTTTCATGAGGTGTCTTGTTTCATGTGGTGTCTTGTTTCATGTGGTGTCTTGTTTCATGTGGTGTCTTGTTTCATGTGGTGTCTTGTTTCATGTGGTGTCTTGTTTCATGTGGTGTCTTGTTTCATGTGGTGTCTTGTTTCATGTGGTGTCTTGTTTCATGTGGTGTCTTGTTTCATGTGGTGTCTTGTTTCATGTGGTGTCTTGTTTCATGCGGTGTCTTGTTTCATGCGGTGTCTTGTTTCATGCGGTGTCTTGTTTCATGCGGTGTCTTGTTTCATGCGGTGTCTTGTTTCATGCGGTGTCTTGTTTCATGCGGTGTCTTGTTCATCGTGTCTTTTCATGCGGTGTCTTGTTTCATGCGGTGTCTTGTTTCATGCGGTGTCTTGTTTCATGCGGTGTCTTGTTTCATGCGGTGTCTTGTTTCATGCGGTGTCTTGTTTCATGCGGTGTCTTGTTTCATGCGGTGTCTTGTTTCATGCGGTGTCTTGTTTCATGCGGTGTCTTGTTTCATGCGGTGTCTTGTTTCATGCGGTGTCTTGTTTCATGCGGTGTCTTGTTTCATGCGGTGTCTTGTTTCATGCGGTGTCTTGTTTCATGCGGTGTCTTGTTTCATGCGGTGTCTTGTTTCATGCGGTGTCTTGTTTCATGCGGTGTCTTGTTTCATGCGGTGTGTTGTTTCATGCGGTGTGTTGTTTCATGCGGTGTGTTGTTTCATGCGGTGTGTTGTTTCATGCGGTGTGTTGTTTCATGCGGTGTGTTGTTTCATGCGGTGTGTTGTTTCATGCGGTGTTTGTTTCATGCGGTGTGTTGTTTCATGCGGTGTGTTCTGTTTCATGCGGTGTCTTGTTTCATGCGGTGTCTTGTTTCATGCGGTGTCTTGTTTCATGCGGTGTCTTGTTTCATGCGGTGTCTTGTTTCATGCGGTGTCTTGTTTCATGCGGTGTCTTGTTTCATGCGGTGTCTTGTTTCATGCGGTGTCTTGTTTCATGCGGTTGTCTTGTTTCATGCGGTGTCTTGTTTCATGCGGTGTCTTGTTTCATGCGGTGTCTTGTTTCATGCGGTGTCTTGTTTCATGCGGTTGTCTTGTTTCATGCGGTGTCTTGTTTCATGCGGTGTCTTGTTTCATGCGGTGTCTTGTTTCATGCGGTGTCTTGTTTCATGCGGTGTTTGTTTCATGCGTGTTTGTTTCATGCGGTGTCTGTTTCATGCGGTGTTGTTTCATGCGGTGTTGTTTCATGCGGTGTTTGTTTCATGCGGTGCTGTTTCATGCGTGTTGTTTCATGCGGTGTCTTGTTTCATGCGGTGTCTTGTTTCATGCGTGTCTTTTTCATGCGTGTCTTGTTTCATGCGTGTCTGTGTTCATCGGTCTGTTTCATGCGTGTCCTGTTTCACTGTTTATGATTCTCTCGCATTTGCAACATATTACTGTGTGTTAATATGGTGTTTTAATCCTATTATCACATTCTTCTCTCTTCTCTCTCTGTCTCTCTCACTCTCTGTTATTATTATATATAATTAGTTTGTATGTATGTATACACATACACTGTAAATCAACATAGGTTTGGTACTAATATTAACATGAAGTTTTATGCATATTTAAAGTCATTCTTACTAATGTGTGTGTAGTTAACACAGGTTAATATTTGTGTTCACGGTTAATACAGGTTAATATTTTGTGTTCATGGTTAACACTAGTTAATATTTGTGTTCATGGTTAACACAGGTTAATATTTTATGTTCACGGTTAACACAGGTTAATATTTGTGTTCATGGTTATCACAGGTTATTATTTATGTTCATGGTTAACACAGGTTAATATTTTGTGTTCACAGTTAACGCAGGTTAATTGTGTTCATGGTTAACACAGGTTAATATTTTATGTTCACGGTTAACACAGGTTAATATTTGTGTTCATGGTTAACACAGGTTAATATTTTGTGTTCATGGTTAACACAGGTTAATATTTGTGTTCATAGTTAACACGAATTAATATGTATATTTTAACAGGTTGATATTTGCGCACATAACATTCCATTTCTATGTCCTAATTGATACTAATTTTTTAAATAATTGTGTATCTTGTGCGTTTATATTATTGTTCACCAGAAATACATGTTGAGCGGTGTTTTTGTTACTTATGGAGATATTCGTTTTTGTGTGAAGAAAGTATATTGGAGGGAGGGGGTGAAGGTTTTGTGTTCGAGGAGCTTGGACTTCCAGCAGGCATACGTGAGCGTATTTGATAGGAGTGAATGGAGACAAATGGTTTTTAATACTTGACGTGCTGTTGGAGTGTGAGCAAACTAACATTTATGAAGGGGTTCAGGGGAACCGGCAGGTCGGACTTGAGTCCTGGAGATGGGAAGTACAGTGTCTGCACTCTGAAGGAGGGGTGTTAATGTTGCAGTTTTATAACTGTAGTGTAAAGCATCCCTCTGGCAAGACAGTGATGGAGTGAATGATTAAAATATTTCTTTTTCGGGCCACCCTGCCTTGGTGGGACTCGGCCGATGTGTTAAGTGAAGGTCACAAGTATATTGAAAGTCGGAAGTATAGAAGTGAAAGTCAGAGGTATAAAATGAAAGGAAGTATCTTATAGTAAAGATGCTTGTGTATATATGTGAGCAGGTAACGGAAGAGGTATGTTGTAGATGCAGAGTATATAGGTGAAGAACCTTGTGTACGTAGGTGGAGTGGTGAAGTAACGTAAGCATGCAGGTGTAGAGGCAGCAGGTGTTCTGCATGTGTAGGGGCGATAGATGAAGAAATGCAGGTGTTACAGTATTGTACGAGAATATCAGTAGAGAAGAGTGGCAGGCAGAGGTGAATAAGTAAGAGTCGTGTTTGACCTGTGTTTGGTGTGTGTTCCTCCTCCAGCAGGCGACGCAGGTGTCGAGCGAGTGCAAGATGTGTGGCAAGCAGGTCTTCCAGATGGAGAAGATCGTGGCAGAGAAAGCGTCCTGGCACAAGAACTGCTTCCGCTGCAAGGAATGTAACAGCCTCCTCACGTGAGTACACATTTGGGGAATTTCCAATTCCCAGTTATTCCTAAGTTTTGGAGGGTGTAAACCCGTTAGAGCTTGGGAGGCCTGTAACATATGTAGGCTTACATGCCTACCAAACCTACAATACCAACAGCCTTAATTGTATGTTAATTTAGCTGTAAACCTTGGCGAATTAATATTTAGTCTAGAGTATAAGCACACAAGTTTAAATAAGATTAGAACCTAGTATTACATCGATTTCTCTATAAGCTTACACCTCTAACATTGAGCCACCCACCAGCGTGGGCACAGCTACCCATGCCAGGGAAGGCAGTCACAAAAGCGCGATGACCCACACGTCATCGAGAAACCAGTGACGTAAACGTACCTGGAGTTTACCTGGAGAGAGTTCCGGGGGTCAACGCCCCCGCGGCCCGGTCTGTGACCAGGCCTCCTGGTGGATCAGAGCCTGATCAACCAGGCTGTTACTGCTGGCTGCACGCAAACCAACGTACGAGCCTCAGCCCGGCTGGTCAGGAACCGACTTTAGGTGCTTGTCCAGTGCCAGCTTGAAGACTGCCAGGGGTCTGTTGGTAATCCCCCTTATGTATGCTGGGAGGCAGTTGAACATTCTCGGGCCCCTGACACTTATTGTATGGTCTCTTAACGTGCTAGTGACACCCCTACTTTTCATTGGGGGGATGTTGCATCGTCTGCCAAGTCTTTTGCTTTCGTAGTGAGTGATTTTCGTGTGCAAGTTCGGTACTAGTCCCTCTAGGATTTTCCAGGTGTATATAATCATGTATCTCTCCCTCCTGCGTTCCAGGGAATACAGGTTCAGGAACCTCAAGCGCTCCCAGTAATTTAGGTGTTTTATCTGTTATGCGCGCCGTGAAGGTTCTCTGTACATTTTCTAGGTCAGCAATTTCACCTGCCTTGAAAGGTGCTGTTAGTGTGCAGCAATATTCCAGCCTAGATAAAACAAGTGACCTGAAGAGTGTCATCATGGGCTTGGCATCCCTAGTTTTGAAGGTTCTCATTATCCATCCTGTCATTTTTCTAGCAGATGCGATTGATGCAATGTTATGGTCCTTGAAGGTGAGATCCTCCGACATGATCACTCCCAGGTCTTTGACGTTGGTGTTTCGCTCTATTTTGTGGCCAGAATTTGTTTTGTACTCTGATGAAGATTTAATTTCCTCGTGTTTACCATATCTGAGTAATTGAAATTTCTCATCGTTGAACTTCATATTGTTTTCTGCAGCCCACTGAAAGATTTGGTTGATGTCCGCCTGGAGCCTTGCAGTGTCTGCAATGGAAGACACTGTCATGCAGATTCGGGTGTCATCTGCAAAGGAAGACACGGTGCTGTGGCTGACATCCTTGTCTATGTCAGATATGAGGATGAGGAACAAGATGGGAGCGAGTACTGTGCCTTGTGGAACAGAGCTTTTCACCGTAGCTGCCTCGGACTTTACTCTGTTGACGACTACTCTCTGTGTTCTGTTAGTGAGGAAATTATAGATCCATCGACCGACTTTTCCTGTTATTCCTTTAGCACGCATTTTGTGCGCTATTACGCCATGGTCACACTTGTCGAAGGCTTTTGCAAAGTCTGTATATATTACATCTGCATTCTTTTTGTCTTCTAGTGCATCTAGGACCTTGTCGTAGTGATACAATAGTTGAGACAGACAGGAGCGACCTGTTCTAAACCCATGTTGCCCTGGGTTGTGTAATTTATGGGTTTCTAGATGGGTGGTGATCTTGCTTCTTAGGACCCTTTCAAAGATTTTTATGATATGTAAAGCAGAGTTCTTTCACAAAACAAACCTGGAAGTGCGAGGGTGACTAACTTTCACTATTTACTTTACTAGGCGTATACAGTGAAGGATACTAGCCTTGACTAGTCACATTAAAATCGTGGAGCCGAGACGACTCCTCTCGCTCAGAATCCGGATGTTACAATGCGACTCGAACACATTATCTCACGGTGTTCCTAAAAGGATTTAATAACCTACACACATCAGGCGGTAAGTACCTGTTAAGTGCAAGTTGAATGTATCTAAATAGGTGGGTTAATGCGTTACCGCCCACGTGCAAGTCCACACACTTCAGGACTCCAGAAATACGTTAAAGATTGATGGACTAAACACATCAACTCCAAGCTGAGAGACTGATTACCTCAAACTACTACTCTTCTTCCACCGTTCTTCTTTTTACTGGACTGAAGAAGTCATTGACTAGCGAAGCGTTTCTTCAGTAAAGATTCCCAAATGTTGCATAAGTGTCTTAATGAACAGTTTTCTAGACCATTTATGAAATCTAACGTATGATCCACTTTAGTGAGTGCATCTTGGTTAACAGAGGTCACTGGATGAGTCCCTAAAGTCAGTTCATGACCAGCCGGGTTTCTGCTCGAAAATTGGACTGCGTGCGGCCAGCAGGAACTGCCGGGGTTGATCAGGACTTAATCCACCAGGAGGCCTCGTCTGTGACATGGCCGCGGGGGCGTTGACCCCCGGGAGCATCTTTCAGGTAACCTGTACCAGATAGACGAGGGCTGAGCTGTAGAAAGTAAGCCTACATGCCTAGTTCCCATAGTTTCCCCCAGAGGGCAAGCCTGGTGGGCATGCCACTTCAGCCTGCCCACCCCTACCCCTCTCACTCGGCGCCAATCCTTCACACAGTCAACAAGGCCTACTACTCTCTCCTTCGCTGGTCATGGCCCCTCCGGGCCATGGACACAAACACACTGCCTGTGTATCCACTGTCTCGCAAATAAAGTAAGAAGCCTCCGAAGCCTTATCATTGAACCTCGTCTGCAACAACGTGACAATAACCTTCGCAAACAGGGCCACTTGTAGGTCATAATTCAGGTTCTGACAGGTTATTGAACATACGAGAAGTATTACTGCGTATATGTGTATTATAAGTATGTCGAATATCAAAAGAGACATTCTACCTACCTACCTAGAGGGCGTTCCGGGGGTCACCTCCCCAGCGGCCCAGTGCTTGACGAGGCCTCCAGGTGGATCAGGGTCTAATCAACCAGGCTGTTACTGCTGGCCGCACGTAGTCCAACGTACGAATCATAGCCAGGCTGATCAGGTACTGACTTTAAGTATCTGTCCAGCTCCCTCTTGAAAACAGTCAGGAGTCTATTGGTAATTCCCCTTATTCCTGATGGGAGGCTGTTAAACAGTCTTGGGCCCCGGACGCTTATTGTGTTTTCTCTTAGTACCAGTGGCGCCCCTACTTTTCATTTGGGGTATGTTGCACTGTCTGCCCAGTTCTTTGCTTTCGTAGGGATTGATTTCTGTATGCAGATTTCGGACCAGTCCCTCTAGGATTTTCCAGGTAGATTATGATGCAGATCTCTCTCGCTTGCGCTCCAATGAGTACAGATCAAGTGACTCCAAGCATGCGTTCCCAGTAATTTAGGTATTTGACACAACTTGTATGTGGAGTATCGTGCCCACCCACAGGTTAGACCCGCCTTCTAGTCCTTGTGTCAGTAGGTGATAATCATGCCCACTCACAGGTTAGACCTGCCATCTAGTCCTTGTGTCAGTACGTGATAATCATGCTCACCCACAGGTTAGACCTGCCATCTAGTCCTTGTGTTAGTACGTGATAGTGATGCATCATGCCCGCCCACAGGTTAGAGACGTACCAGAGTCACGAGGGAGTCCTATACTGTAAACCACACTTCAAGGACCTCTTCCGTCCCAAGGCTGTCATTGAGGACCCTGACGAAGCCCGCAGAGATCGCTGTAAGTATCTCTCCTCCCTGCTTACCTACCTACCTCCCTTTCTGTATTTCTTACCTCGCCCTCTTCTACTGTGTCTCACCCTCTTCTGCTGTGTCTCACACTCCTCTAATGTGACTCGCCCTTCGACCTGTTTTCTGTTTCAGTGTATCTGGTGTGTGTGTAGTGTATGCTAGGCCAGGCTGAAGGAAACGTTGCAGGACAAGCACCTATTGGGAAGAGTCGACATGATAAAACTCTACATAGAGCGAAACGTTGTCCGATAAACAGAATTATCTTGCAGCATGTCATTCATCAATGTTGTCAGCCACACGACATTTCAACCTGTTGACCTCACTGTTGCTTTACTGTTTACGTGTATGTTTACCTGCCTGTTGTTGATTCAGGGGATCATATCCCCCGCGGCCCGGCCCCAGACTAGTCTTTCTAGTTGATAACGTTATTTCTGGTCTAGCAATATAATTTGTGTGTGTGTGTGTGTTTGTTTTCCTTGACGTGACCACCAGTGTTTTATAAGCTTTGTAAATATACAATAATCTTTTAATTATGTGTTTATACAATGTTCATTTCTCTTGATGTATTAGGTGTGTGTAATGTGTGTGTGTGTGTGTGTGTGTGTGTGTGTGTGTGTGTGTGTGTGTGTGTGTGTGTGTGTGTGTGTGTGTGTGTGTGTGTATCTTGTGTTACGTACACAGTAACACAGAGTACTACTCGTATTTCCCGTGCTGTACACTGTGACTATCTGCTCGCCTGAATTGCTGCTGTGTCCACCTTCGCTTGTCGGAAAAGCAGCAGCAGATACAACAGCAGCTGCAGCAGCAGTGATAACAGATTAACGGTGCAATAAAAGCTTCCGTAGCCACAGCAGAAGCTGCAGTAACAGCAACAGCAACATCATGGCTGTGTTGCGTGCCGGCCTTGATTCGTCCATATTTTTGTTGATTGTGTATTTTCGGTCATAATATTAGTAGTTCCTGTGGACGTGTGGTCGTGCGCTCACCTGTTTGTGGTTGCTGGGGTCGAGTCTCGAATCCTGTGTGTTGGGGGGGGTGATTCTTAAGCTGGTATACCTGGAGAAAGTTTCGGGGCTCAACGCCCCGGCTGCCCGGTCTGTGACCAGGTCTCATGGTAGATCAGGGCCTGATCAATCTGGCTGTTACATGGTTATTGTTTGCGTGTATGGTGTGTTTCTTAGGATGATGTGGTCATTGTGTGTATGATTGTTTCTTAGGACGATGTGGTAATCGTTTGTGTGTTTACCTGGAGGAGTATACCTGGAGGGTATTTCCTGGAGTTAACGCCCCGCGGCCCTGTCCATGACCTGGCCTGGCGTGTATGGTGCATTTCTTAGGATGGTGAGATCATGAAACCGAACTGTTATCAGACCTTATATCATTTGAAGGAAGAGGCCTGACTGTGTTATACTACCCACATCATGGGCTAGCACCAATGTACCTACACAGTAGTAGGTGAACAGGGATGGGGGCAACAGATGTAGGCTGTAAGGGCCACCCACCCCAAGATCACACCCGAGGCCTTCCCTTCAGAGCCCAAGGCACTGCCACCGAGTTGAGGTACAGTGATGGGTTAGGCTAGGTAAGATTTGTCAGGAAACAGTACAGATGTTTCCTGATTCTGGTCTTAAGTCATATGATGACCCGTCGCTGGAGCTCTTGGTCATCTGACCAAAGCCTTCCGCTGGCTTACCGGTCCACCCTTTTAAAAATTCTATGCATGATTATAATCATTTGATAATAGCAATGGGTTGTTTGTGCGGGGTGTGTGTGTGCGTGCGTGCGTGAGTGTTGCAGACTGGCAGGTGCGTGTTGCAATGGTTTGTGCAGTCAAGGTTGTTCGTGTTTTACCGATATGTTAGTAGCTTAACTCTGGGATGATCAGTGGCCTGTCCCTCACACAGCAACCAGCCTGCACCAGCCTCCTCTCAACCTCATAAATCACCAATTAAACTGGTTTAGAAAGACACGTGAGTAAACACTAGGATATATTCATTAGAAAACATTTTGGTCCTGAGACCTTGATTACTTCTAACATACAGAGGTCAAATAAAAGACTTCAAAGGTATATAGGTGGAAAGTGAGGTGTGAGTGACACATGGTGACCTGAAGTGAGGTGTGACACATGACCTGAAGTGAGGTGTGACACATGGTGACCTGAAGTGAGGTGTGACACATGGTGACCTGAAGTGAGGTGAGTGACACATGGTGACCTGAAGTGAGGTGTGAGTGACACATGGTGACCTGAAGTAAGGTGTGAGTGACATGGTGACCTGAAGTAAGGTGTGACACATGGTGACCTGAAGTGAGGTGTGACACATTGTGGCCTGAAGTGAGGTGTGAGTGACATGGTGACCTGAAGTGAGGTGTGAGTGACACATGGTGACCTGAAGTGAGGTGTGACACATGGCCTGAAGTGAGGTGTGACACATGGTGGCCTGAAGTGAGGTGTGAGTGACACATGGTGGCCTGAAGTGAGGTGTGAGTGACACATGGTGGCCTGAAGTGAGGTGTGACACATGGCCTGAAGTGAGGTGACACATGGTGACCTGAAGTAAGGTGTGACACATGGTGACCTGAAGGTGTGACACATGGTGACCTGAAGTGAGGTGTGAGTGACACATGGTGACCTGAAGTAAGGTGTGTGACACATGGTGACCTGAAGTGAGGCGTGACACATGGTGGCCTGAAGTGAGGTATGACACATTGTGGCCTGAAGTGAGGTGTGAGTGACACATGGTGACCTGAAGTGAGGTGTGAGTGACACATGGTGGCCTAAAGTGAGGTGTGACACATGGTGGCCTGAAGTGAGGCGTGACACATGGTGGCCTGAAGTGAGGTGTGACACATGGTGGCCTGAAGTGAGGTGAGTGACACATGGTGGCCTGAAGTGAGGTGAGTGACACATGGTGGCCTGAAATGAGGTGAGTGACACATGGTGGCCTGAAGTGAGGTGAGTGACACATGGCCTGAAGTGAAGTGTGAGTGACACATGGTGGCCTGAAGTGAGGTGTGACACATGATGGCTTGAAGTGAGGTGTGAGTGACACATTGTGACCTGAAGTGAGGTGTGAGTGACACATGGCCTGAAGTGAGGTGTGACACATGGTGACCTGAAGTGAGGTGTGAGTGACACATGGTTTGAAGTGGGGTGTGAGTGACACATGGTGGCCTGAAGGGTGTGAGTGACACATGGTGACCTGAAGTAAGGTGTGACACATGGTGACCTGAAGAATATGTTGTGATGAAGCCTAGCCTATCACAACACATTTTTACCTCTGTATGTTAGAAGTAATCAAGGTCCCAGCACCGAAATGTTTTCTAATAAATGTATCGTAATGTTTAGATGAATGGTTCACAGAACCGACATGTTGATCAATTAGACACATGTGCAACTCTTGGGTATCTTTATTGAGGAAACGTTTCGCCACACAGTGGCTTCATCAGTCCATCAATCTTGAACATTCAAGATTGATGGACTGACCACATCGACTCAAGGTTGAGGGACTGATTACCTCATTCTCCTCCTGTTCTTCAAGATTCTCCTTGTATGGACTGATGAAGCCACTGTGTGGCGAAACGTTTCCTCAATAAAGATACCCAAGAGTTGCACATGTGTCTAATTTATCAATCATTCTAATGTTTACTCGTGTCTTTCTAAATAAGTTTGTTGGTATCTATTACCAAGGTTTATACCACCAATTAATATAAATTTTGGCCCCCAAATTCATTTCAAGGTCGGAATAATTTCGCCGGGTAACAGAGCCTTAGATGCAGTTGGAATCAGAATGGCGGGTTAACCCCAGCAGGGACGCGTCTCTGATGGCTCAACCTCAAAGGAGACGATTAATGATTATCTCTGTAGTGACGATGAGTTTAGAAATAATAGCAACAGTAATAATCTTGGTGGTCATGCGAACGTTTAGGTTGATTATTTGTTGAGAATGGTGGGATGCGGCAACAGCAGCAGCAGTGATCACAACACTGGTGCTAGCAACACCAGCCTTCCCTCTCCTCTAGTGTGTTACTCTTCAGACAACACTTCTTGTGTTGACACGCTAGTGTTGAGTGTCACTCTAGTGTGTTTGCGTGGTGATCCTCGCTAGTGTTGTGTGTGTGTGTTGCGATGTTGAACACTAGAGAAGAACATCAATAGTGGTGATCTGTCTTGCTGAAATACTGTGTTCTACTGTGCGTACTACTGAGGTGTACATCCTCAACTCTTCTTACTCTAGTGTACTGTACATACCTCGTGTATACCTAACATGTACCTAACATAACTAGTGTGTAGTTTACATATACCTTATGTGGCTGACATAGCCGATGTGTAGGTACTATGTGACGTACATAAGCAGTTTGTGGGTACCATGTGGCCTACGTAACCAGTATGTAGGTGCTATGTAGCATAAGTCACGAAGGCACAAGTATACAGAACCAGCGTTAATATAAACAGCGTTTCGCCCAACGTAGAGCTTGGTGAGGAAGGCGATGTTTCTCTCTGCCTAGTCTTTTACAGCGAAAGAATCTTCGGTGAAAGATTTCTGCGCACCCTTCTTTGTCCACACGTAGATGTGTGTCTCCACCTTAGGTATACATGAAGATGTGTGTTGTCACCCTATGTATACACGTAGATGTGTGTCTCCACCCTCTAACCAAGCTTGTGTGTTGCCGACATGAGTAACAGAGGTTCGACATTGGATGCTTACGTTGTACCGTGTTGCACATTTGTTAAAGCATTTCTTGTGTCTTTGTCTAGTGTTAAAAACGATGTTTTGTTTCGTTCGCGTACTTGAAGCTGCGTATTGGGTAGCAGATACGGGTATTGTGATGAGCTGTAAGTGTGGTTGGTGGCTGCAGTAGTCACTGCTACTCTTGCATTGCCGCCTCGATATATCATTTGTACTGTTAGGTAAGACACATATGCAACAGTTAGGTATCTTTATTGTGAAACGTTTCGCCTACACAGTAGGCTTCTACTGTGTAGAAACGTAGGCGAAACGTTTCACAATAAAGATACATAACTGTTGCATATGTGTCTTGCCTAACAACCTGTCGGTATTTTATACCATTTTAATGTTCAATCATTTGTACTCTCTTCTTGTACTTCATGGTTTATTTCTCTGGTATATCTTTTCCCTAAAATATATTTTCTGCGATGTCTCCCGTTTCTTTGTACGTATTTCTACACCGCACGGTAGTGTTAACATCTATCGTCATGAAAGGTAGTGTTCACGTCTATTTTCAAGATCATGTTTAGTCTACCTTGGACACCCCTGCTCTTCACTAAGTTTATTTTGCACCCCGGCTTTGCACTTCCTATTTTTTTTTTTTTTTTTTTTAATGTCTGTTGGGTTGAAGACAGTGTGAAGGTACCAGGACAGTGCCTTGTGGTACTAACCTTTGTACTACACTTGATGTAGTTTGATTTATATCCTGGGGTTGCAGTCTAAGTATGTTGTATGTATGACTGTGATATGTCTCATGGCGCCTTATTGTTCGTCAACATTATATTTAGAAATTTCTTTGTTATTAGATCAACCCCAACTCATCAGTGTGTCTCTGGAACTCCAACATGAGCTTCTTATCTAGTGCAGTTAGAGCTTGCTTTCTTGCAACAATATTGTGCCCTTAGGATGTTACGATATATGTATATCCTAGGATACTAAGATTATTCTGGGATGTCTGAGGTATGATTATCAAGGCTTTTTAGGAAGTTTTCTATGTTCCTTATCTGCTGAGTCACCCCTTCTTCAGTTGCTCTCTCTCTGGTCTTCTATGAGAAGACTTCTAGAGTTTTTGTTCTCTTTTATTCCATAATATCATTGATGATTTCAATTCTTTGTAATCGTTTCTTTCATTGAAATCAATGTTACGTCAACACAGGCTGAGATGCAGGCTGCTGCACTCTTCCAGTATGTTATGGTTGTCTGTGAAGACTCAGCGTTGATTCGGTGCGAGACTAGTCAAGAAATTTTGTTTTGTGTCCTTGTATGTTGGAGGATTTTAGTGGAGAATGTTAGAGGGAGTTTATGTGGTAAGGGGTTTGGTGGGGAGTGTTAGGGGGAAGGGGGGATGATGTTTCATTGGGAGAGGAATATGGTTGAGAAGAATTAAGGGGGAAGACTTAACCAAACACCCAGAAACGAGATTAATACTAAGACACTTCCACAATTTATTTACAAACACTTTGTCTACTCTCACCCCTACCCCCGCCATAATGTCTTCCCATAATACATGTCCTCCCCCCCCCCTCACACACACTGTTTTCCCTCGTACACACTTTTTGTACCGTATACACTTCTTCCTCGTTCTCCTCACTAGCATACACCTGTGTACCTGACTTTGCCTACACACACTAACAAGCAAACTACAAGTCAGGTGAACGGTAACCTGACCTGTACCTGAGTTGGGGTAGACTAAGACCTTTTTGTTAAGTCTGTAAAGAAGCTGGGGTAGGATAATTTTATTTTAATTAAGCTTGTAAATAAGCTGAGGTAGATATTTTCTCCTGTGTGTTGTATGTACAGTTACCTTCTGCGTTCACATATGTATATAACTTTGTGTCAAGAGTGACTAGTTCACTCAGCGTTAGTGTCGTGTGTGAGCAGTGCAGGACAAGTGTGAGCAGTGCAGGACAAGTGTGAGGAGTGCTTCAGGTGTAAGTGACAGGTTATGTAAGGAGTGCATTAAGTGTGAGTAACAGGTGTGTAAGGTGTGTTTTATGTGTGGTAGTGGTGCAAGGGGTGTCGTATGTGTGTGTATGGGGTGGAGGATAAAGTGTTAAGTACAGTCTCTAAAACTTTTGAGTGTGGTATCAGTGATGCGGCGACCCAAGATGATAGTGTTGGAGAGTCAGCCACAGGCCCTGCCAGACGACGTCGTCAGATGTGAGTCTCATACACAAGTGTTCCTCCTCCCTGCAGTCTCCTCTAGCATCGTTTCTCTTAACAAACTCTTTGTTTAACACACTCATATGTTGACACCACACTCGAAATTGTTTACCCTGAAGAAACTTTGATGTTTTATTGGCATGAGCCGAGTTGTTTATTGGCTAAGTTTGTTTAGTTTTCTCACTAACACCGTGTTTGCCAGCGTTAACTCAGGTCTTAAGTTGATTTTGTATTTTGTGTTTGCTGTTTATTTTCATTGAGTATAATGGTAACTCTTAAGATTTATTGTTTATTAACTAAATCAGTGAGGTTTTCTTTTATACAAATAACATTGTGTTGCATAACGTGTGTAACTAATATGTAACTAATATATATAAGCTGAAGATAAGTGGTAATGAACCAGTCTTCGGTTTATGTTCCATATATACACCAGACCCAACGTTGTTACCTCTCAGTCACGGAGTTTACAAAAGGATGATTTTACAAGCAGGCAGCACTTAACATGTGGTTGTGTCAGTGGCACCAACTGTGACCTTAATGTTTCATCTCACAACCCCAGAAGCTTTCATCTGCTCTCCATCAGAGTCAGTTGATAAAGCACCAGTGTACATCACAGTGGCTGGAAAGGTACACAACTCTACCACAAACAAGTTGGTAATGAAAAGTGAAGCCGCCGTTGGAGCCGCCCTTCACACTGCCTTGTGTATATTTACTCTAAATTATAGTTATTTTTCAGGTCAAGGTTTGTACTCTACCTACCATGGGATGTTGTGGTGTGTCTGGGGTAGATAATTTACTGCTTAAATCATTATAATACCAGGTTTTGTGAGACTAAGACAGAGGAAAGATAAAGAGGTCACGGAAGATTAGAGAAAGAGGTCACGGAAGATTAGAGAAAGAGGTCATGGAAGATTAGAGAGGTCACGGAAGATTAGAAAGAGGTCACGGATAATAAATTAATAGGTCAAATAAATTAGGTCAGTCAAGGTCAATAAAATTAGATGAACTCTTCTTTCACAAGAGTTTAAGGGAAATGTGATAAATGGAAGTGAAGAAAGTGATGATGATGATGAGGGAAGAACACCACTATAAGATAAGAATAAGAGGAAGCCAAGGACGGTAACACGTTCTCAACACGTTACACTCTGGTGTGTTGTAACACGTTCTCAACACGATATACTCAGGTGTGTTGTAGCACGATCTGAACACGATATACTCTGGTGTGTTGTAACACGTTCTCAACACGTTACACTCTGGTGTATTGTAACACGTTACACTCTGGTGTGTTGTAACACGTTCTCAACACGTTACACTCTGGTGTATTGTAACACGTTACACTTTGGTGTGTTGTAACACGTTACACTCTGGTGTGTTGTAACACGTTCTCAACACGTTACACTCTGGTGTATTGTAACACGTTACACTCTGGTGTGTTGTAACACGTTCTCAACACGATATAGGTTGAAAAGCATAAAGATTACCTACAGGTTTGGTACAACATTGCTTTTATTTTCACAAAGTTTCGCTCAAATGTGAGAATCTTGTAAGATTTACCTGTCGTCTAACTTGTTCACGAGACAGACTACACTACCTCTCCGTTTTTCAGTATTCGAAACTTTTTTAGTGTTATTCGAAACGTTTTCAGCATTAGCACTAAGCTGCATCTTCGTGGATACAAATCTCATTCGCACTTACGAACAAAATTTTACAGCACGGTTCGTAAAGCGAGGCTGAGGTCAATGTTTACCTGGAGACCTGGAGAGGGTTTCGGGGGTCAACGCCCCCCGCGGCCTGGTCTGAGACCAGGCCTCATGGTGGATCAGGATTTGATCAACCAGGCTGTTACTGCTGGCCGCACGCAAGCTGACGTACGAACCACAGCCCGGTTGGTCAGGCACTACTGACTTTAGATGCCTGAGGGAATATATTGTAAACAGTGGCAAAATTGCTATGGTAACAGAAGTGAGACCTGAAAATATATTGAGAAATTCCTCTCTAAACTGTTTGACTTTTTATTTAAAGTAACAAACTTCACGTTTGGAGAGCTGTTGTGATGGTGTCTGATGGACTGGTGACGCCATTGTCTTCAACTGCTTCCCAAACACTATATCACACACTATCTTCGTGAAACACCATCGTTATTAAAAAACCATCTTAAAACACCCTGTTAATTAAATACCGTCATAATCAGGCATCGTTTTAAAAACCATCTTAATCAAACATAGTTTTAAGCATCTTAATCAAGCATAGTTTTAAGCACCATCTTAATCATAGTTTTAAGCACCATCTTAATCATAGTTTTAAGCACCATCTTAATCATAGTTTTAAGTACCATCTTAATCATAGTTTTAAGCACCGTCTTAATCACAGTTTTAAGCACCGTCTTAATCAAACACAGTTTTAAGCACCGTCTTAAACAGTTTTAAGCACCGTCTTAAACACAGTTTTAAGCACCGTCTTAAACACAGTTTTAAGCACCGTCTTAAACAGTTTTAAGCACCGTCTTAAACACAGTTTTAAGCACCGTCTTAAACACAGTTTTAAGCACCGTCTTAATCAAACAGTTTTAATCAACCACTGGAACACATTAACACAGTTAAGCAACAGCTAACATGATTTACTGTATCATAAAGTATAATTGGTAATGTTTATGTTATCCAGTCAGAGGAATGTTGCGTGATGTTTAATCTAGTTTTATTCTCTAATAATCATAAAATCTGCGCACCTGTCTGCCCCCACAAAATGTTTCATTATATATACACAAGTTTAGCTTGTCAGAAACCACATTTTCCTTTTGTTTTTGAAGTAAACGTTAATGACGTGTTTTGTTTGCTGGTAATACACATATTTTATGATAATTTGACCTTTGTTGAGGCTTCAGTCAAGACTGGTAAGGTCCGACCCTCCACCCACCTCAACCCACCTTCACCCAGCTGATGGACGCCAACCATCAGTGACGCACCAGCTGTGCATCAACCTCCGCACGCTAGTGCGTACACACACACACACACACACACACACACACACACACACACACTCATACACTCACAACACTCTCACTAATATACAATAGGCCTAGTGTCTAATCAACATGTGCCTAGGACAAAATGGTAACTAACACACACACACACACACACACGGGGTATGTGATTGCAAGATTCTTACCTGAGGCATAAACATGGCAGGTTAGGAGAGACTAGACCAGAGATGCAACAAAACAAGGGAACATATTTGAAAATTACAGTCACAAATGAGCCACAAAACTCTCATGAAATGTTTTATCAGCATAAGAGATGTAAAGAAGTGGAATAAAGTGTATAATGACGCAGTGAGAATGGACTCCAGTATTTTACACGGCTTCATAAATAGGTATGAAACGGGGCTCTTTCACCTTAGTTGATCGAGAGTTAAGAAATAGGGTCAGGAACTAGAGCTCAATCCCACCACAAGCTCAGAATAGGTAAATATAAACATCTAATAAGCACAAAGTAATCACAGCTCTGGAGAATGTACAGAGAAGCTTCGCTGCATGTACAACTTCAGTCGCCTTTATTACTGGGAACGTTTGCAGTCCCTTAACCTGTACTCCCTGGAACGCAGGCGAGAAAGATATCGTAATTTACACTGGGAAAAACGTAGAAAGACTGGTCCCAAATCTACACACAGATATTACTCCCTACGAAGGCAAAAGGCTCGGCAGACTGTGTACTTAGACAACACAGGAAGTGTAAGACGTCCAATAGTTTTCAAGAGTCTCCCATCATACGTAAGTGAAATAACCAGTAGACTCCTCGCTGTCTTCAAGAGGAAACTGGATAAGTCTTTTAAAGTACCTGACCAGCCATCCAGTGGTTCGTATGTTGAATACTATGCATCCAGCAGTAACAGCCTGGTTGATCAGGCCTTGATTCACTAAGAGGCCTGGTCATGAACCGGCTCATGGGGGCATTGACCCTCGGAACATTCCAGGTAGACTCCAGGTAGGCTTAGAGAGAGAAAATTGACCAGTAGTAGCATATAAGTTGAGAGGAAAATATTAGTTTCCATTGGGATAGAGAGTCTTGGAGTAGACATGACAGCAAACATGTCGTAACACTAGAGAAATGAAAGCAGATACTGTAGTAAGATCCTTGTAAATAGTTAAGTATTCGAGTGTACATGCTCATTCTCCTTCCAGCTTCCTTGGTCCCCACATCATTGTTTTCCTTTTGGTTCCTTCATTTGTTCCCAAATTATTTCTGCTTCTCTATCTTCTGCCTACTTGGCTCCTACTTCATCTTTTGCCTACCTCTTTGCCACAATATTTGTCCTCCCCACGTGATTACTCCATAGCGAGCGTCCAGGCGTGACTCCACTCCCATGATCAGAGAAGGCTGAAGATTGGGTCAAGAGGCGAGGCTAGTGTTTCCATGGATCAATACATTCTCCCTGGAGGAAGGTAATAAAATTGAGCTGTCGTTCATGTCTTCTGCCCTGACCCCCCCCCCCCCACACACACACACATCTCTGACCTAGTTATTTATTTTTTTGGGGTGCTGCTGTCTTGACTGTGTTGACCACAGTGGGTACGCTTCTGGCGTGGAGGGTTAATAACCCAGGACTACGCACAAGAACCAACCAACCACTGTGGCTGATCTTCAGTGTGTTATTTTTTCTGTTCTTTCCGATGATGATGGCCACGTATGTCGACTAACAACTCGATATTAGTTTACTACTGCGTTAACAGGTGTTAGGGAAAGTTGTTCATTCGTTTCGGCTCACCCTGGATTACACCCGATGGAAATACAAAGACCGCAATGGAAATAAGTGGCTATGACTTTTTTAGGGTTATGCTAGGTAATTTACATTATGTATGATAATTATACTCCTGTGTTCCTGTGCCTAAATAAACTTATTAGTTGTGAGTTAGACATGCTGCCACTGAGCCTCAAGATACCTCCGGTTATCAACTGTCCCTCCTCCTTTCTCTCCCACACTTCGTACATTGTGTGGGCTAC